CCAGGCTTTCTTATCTGATCATTATATCCTATCTCGTTCATTTGCGCTTTTGCATCTGACGATGGTGGTTCGGTAAAACCATCGAAACTAGTCCTGTGAAAATTTGAAAATATAACGCTGATTTTTGTTTGTTTGACTTCTGAATTAGTATACGTAGGAATACTCCCAAATAACCGAGATAACAAAATTATAAGCCGGCATTTTGTAATTATGGATGGCGTGCTAGGCTTTGTTAGCTTAAGATTTTCCGCGTCTGTTTACCGAATGGCATCAGTTTGACTATTGTCCTCCGGTGCTGATTTGTGTGTCGCAACTTTTGTGATGTGCTACCATAAAGGACAAAAAGCCTGCCTGAAATTTATTTTTGGTTAACGAAATCTGCAGATGAAACGATTTTAATGCTTCGTCAAAGCTTTAAAAATGATGCTTTGAGTAAATCGCAAGTGTAAGAGTGGTGTTCCAGATTCAAAAATGTCGAGTTACATCTTATTAACTGGATTATTTATTATTTTTTGACATAATAACGTTCGTTATCCAAACATTTTTTAAGTCGGTGCACAAGCTTTTGTATCCCACAGTCATAGAAGGTTGCCGCCTGTTGGAAGACAGCGCGCACACAATTTCCTGTACCCTAACTTGACAGTCACAACTTCATAAAGAGTTGTCATTGACACTTCCGGTATGATCTGATGCATTTCTTTCAATTTGAGACGTTTATTCGCACGAATTGTTTCCTCTGTTCTCTGAAGAAGGGCATCAGAGATTTCATCAGTTCAGTTTTGCAGATGGCCGACCTGTTCTTTGTTCGTCATGAACATCGGTCCTCCCTTCAGAGAAATGACGACACCATTTCGTTACATTTTGTCGATTCATAATGTTCCCATAAACAGAAACAATTTCTTTGTGAATATCCGCTGGTCGCTGACCTTTTGCATGAAGAAAACGTATGACGGAGCGCACTTCGCTTTTGGCGGGATTCTGAATCGGCGCAGCCATTTTAAACACGACCTACTCACCAGAATCAACGTTGAAATTGTGAACGACCGCGAGGAGAAAGCTTACGGTTCAAGGTTAACACCTGTGTTGCCAACTTGCTCACTAAAACTTTTCTTTTCCTCTGGCGTACGGTGTATCTTTACTTTTCGAAATGCCCTCGTACATCACATTTGATGAAACCGGTTCCAAGCTGCCATCATGTTGTATCCTGAGCATCATTCTCAGTTGTATCTTATAGCCATAATTTGCGTCAGCAAGCATTTACTGTATTAAAAGGTATTTATTATGGAAGCAATTAAAACAGAGCAAACCTTTCACGCCAGTTTTGCAGATGGGTTAATTTCTTCAGCTATGCCAGAAAGCAACCCGAGTTATTACCATGTCAGTATTCGAATAGTAAATAAAACTGCGTGCGAATAATTAAAATATGAAAATGAAATAAGAAATTAGTCAGATACAAAAATTGCTTGAGATTTTAATGTCTTTAAAAGAAAGGGGAGCTGAAAGATTTTAGCGGTAATTTTCTTAACCTGTGTCAATTTCTCGTGGAATCGCGGGTAATCGAAACTGCGGATAACCAAAGATTACTATATTATACAGTGTGAAACGGAAATGATGGTCATAATCTGAAAGGGTGAGACATGGCAAAAGTAACAATTTTCATAATGCAATGTGTGGTAGAATATGAAATATAAACGAGGAAACAGTAAGTTCATATAACTTGGATGAATAAAAAATCGTTTTATTCATGGTATTTTCAAGAAATAATGCTGACAAGAATAATTCAAATGAATTTTCAGACATTCCAACATGCATCACAACGAATTATTCTTGTAAATATTTGTGATTTAAAGAACCGTAAATTCTTCATACTTCTGTGATTATGTGTTGGCATTTCACAATTCACCATGCATTATATTACGAAAATTGTTGTTTTTGCGATATTTAACTCAGTTATGACCATCAATTCTATTGCACCCTGTATATTTAACATCACATACATAACTATAGATATATATGAAGCATAAAAATTTGAGAACCAATGACATGCAGAATAATAGAGAAGTGCCATTTTTTTATATTGGCAGCTGGAGCTATCAAATGATAGTTACAATAATATTTATATAATATTCCCTAAGATCTTTTCTAAGACATCATTCGAATAAAAAACCAAAACTTATTAATGCAATAAAAGACAGCACGAGTACTGTGTTTTAAAATGAGTACCTCTTTATGCTTAAATAGATCCAATACGATTAGCCATTACGCTGTACATTATAGGTAGCTCCATCTCGTTGCATAGGTTAAAAATATAGAAGATAAATATATTGTGGGTTAATGCATGCTATGAAAGGTTCAGTCAGTTATTTATGAAGTCTGTTTAAATATAATTTTTAGTCCAAAGGGGCTTTGTTCCTGAGGGACTATTGTTTTCGTTTTGCGATTTTGCGTCGAATCACTATGAATGTCCGTTTCACTTTTCGAACTGTTGCCACCAAATATCAATCGCCTTGTAAGATTGCTGGAGTGCTCACCACCTGATCACAAAGTGATCTTATGATCTTAAAGGGGCACCCCATAAATAACTAACTAAGAAACCCAAAAAATAACTAACTAAGAAAAATATATGTTAGTAATCCCCCTGTATTGTATTTGGAGAAATTAAATAAAGAAGAATCTGCATAATTGTATGTTTCTCTCATTGTGATAAAACAACGGTACCTAGAGCCATCAAATTTTGAATGACGTAATCCTACTGCAAATATAGGCATCTGGAAGCCCAAATTAGAAATTTGGAATTTGTTTTATTATAGATTTCCTATTTTATATAACTTTAACGAATTTTTGATTAACAAACTTAAAGATTTCAAAGCGAGCAATGGCAACGTTGTATAGAAAAACATTTTAATCTCCAGGGCGTGAGACTGTGTATCGGAAATTCTAAAGATATGCTCAATTGAAAATTATTTTGCTATATTGCTGTTTAGCTGAATTTTATGGTTTCAGTGCGAAGGACATGATATTTAATAAATAAAGGTAACACACAAATTGTTAAAAAATGCCCCTTTGGACGCAATTTAAAATCTGAAACCTTTTAGATTTTCTTTTATTTTTAGTTTTTAATTTTTTTTTTTTTTTTTTTTTTTTTTTTTTTTTTGTCTGGCATTTTTTCTCTTTCAGCTAGCTCGCAGCTAGTCAGCAACATCCGAGGGCACTGTTTTTTCTTAGAGGGGGGAAAAATTGAACTGAAAGACTAATGGTTGAATTTAGACATGTCTAAGAATAACAATGTGAAAATAGCGTGAAAGCTAATAAAAAGGAATTTTTAGAATAAGCTGCTAAGATGTTGGCTAGGTGACATAAATTACTTTCTCCAAGGGTAATTAATTCACTTGGTAGCAGTCGTACCCAACATATTTTAAATAAAGCGCAGATACTAATAATAAAAGTAATTTCTAGTTTGAATTCTAATTTCGGGATGTGTCAGGAATAAGGTTGTGCATAGTGATTGTTATAATGGTAAATAATAAATTACACTTTTTTTTTCAAAGTTATTTATTTTTGCTTTTCTGAACATTAAATGTGTTTACGTTATATTTAAAAAATAATATCTGGCAAACAGTACTTATTATTACTTGACGTGCTTTAACTGAGGAATTCTTCATAATTCATGTCAAAATTTGGGGTACTAATTCTTTCTCTTCGAATATTGGCTTTAAGTTGTTCTATGGTACGTATTTTATTTACATATACCTTTCCTTTTAATTTTTTGAATAGCAAGGGAGGAGGGAAGAGAAGATCTACGTCTGTAATGACCAGTTAAAATTCGAAAAATTGAGAAATGATGCTAATCCCAAAAAGTTTTCTCAGGAAGACCATTGCTTGTCGGTGATTTACCGATTAGTAAATTGTTGAAGCACTTGGCGCGAACGTTAAAGAAGTTGCGGTATGCTCGTTGCGTCAAAATTATACATTGTTGAAGCAAGCAATTTTCCTTCTTTGTTTGGTGATGAACTTTCCCACAGAAAAATCTCCTCGAGTTTTGGCTTTTAAAGTCCTGAAAAATAAAAAAAGCTACAGAGTACAAATTTGTTTACTTAAATCATAGCGCTAATTCTTCGCCACCGAGCCCACCAGAGGCCAAGCGGTAAAGTCACTGAACACTGTTAGTTCGGTCCGAGATTCGAATCCCGCGAACGGACTGGCTGCTTGGGCGTTTTCGTTGTTTTCCCAATGTGTAACGTGTATATGAGCTAGTTTCCTTTAGAAAGTGCTCCACGCAGGCATTCCTTCCCTTTGGCAGATAGCTCTCGAGGCTTTGTCGTAATCAAATAAACCACCGTACATGTACCAAATAAACACCGTACCTTCGCCACCGTACATGTATATATAGAAATGACTATCGAATAATAGATAGCCAGAGGATTGGGAACTTACTGTGTTATATTTTATAAATGCATTTTGTGTTATGGAAGTCTTGGAATCTTCGTACATTCTTCTTCCACCCCCCCCCTTGACTGTTAACGTCACGCAAATTAACTCTCGATGAAAAAAAGATTATCCCCCCCAACTATCTGGTAAGATTTCAGAAAGAAAGTCTCATTAAGCTTGCATAAGTTTATAGAACATAAAAGCAAGCAATTGTTTTATTAGATTAATTCCTTTTTGTATGCATTCCGGAGCTTTATTTACTTCCTCTATTTTTGGATCTTCGCGAATCATAAACAATGGAAGAAGCTTAGAAGTTTTCGGTTTCCTTATTAAGTTCTATACCCGTAGTGTAGCGAAACTAATTAGAAAACGCATTCCATGCTGAGGATCTCTTTTGATTGATTCTGTCAGCTGATAATGATCGATATCAGCCCCCCTTCAAGTGACCATCATTGAGTGTGTCCGCGCCCCACTGCAGTCTTGCCTTTACTGCGCGTGCGCTTTTTCCGATCAATACACAACTTGGCAAGCTTCGCTGCGGATAGTAAAAAAGTTCTCTGTTACATGATCGTGATTTTTAATCATCTTGTAAACATGTGATACGTATCCCTACGATCACGTAGTCAGCTTTCTTAGTTTTTATATTTAATTGCTACTGTTTTTATTCCCGTCCGCAAACGGCACTGCAAGCGCCAAGTGCACACGAGGCCCCGGAACGGCACTCGCTTTCGCCATTTTTAACATTCTCGTACGGCTTGTCGACGTCCTTAAATGTCACCGGAATTATAAATTGGTTAGCTAAGCTATCATGGTTACTGAAGGAGATCCACCCCACCAGGTGAGTGTCGTGTTTGTGATTAGTTTGGTTTGGTTTATAATCACAGCTGTCGGAAGATCATTGTCGTTTCTTGATGCGGACTGATCGCATTGGTCTTTGTCATCAATAAGGTAGCGGCTTCCCATCGGTTGATTAAGCCCGTTGACCGCATCCTCTCGTGCCACGACAGCAGTGGGGTGTGTGTTATGATTTATTAAGAAGTATGTATAACACTTCTGCTTAAAGAGGTGGATTCATCATAAATCACGACCATTTTTTGTTCCTTTACTGCAAATTTTCTATGCATGCTGTCTGTTTTTCCTTTGCGCACAGGAAGTCAACTCTCATTTTATCAGGCGTCATCTCCTATTAACCCTAAATCGTGAATAACTTCAGGAAAGGGGAGGAGGGCAGAGAAACAACCCAAATCATAGCTAATAGGAAAATATTGTACAATCTGTCTGTATTTTCAAACATTTTAAATTAGAGGATAAGTTTATGACGCAAATTAAAACTGTGTTCAAAACAAAAAGAACACCGTGTTTATTTGCTTTATTTTTGTATTCCCTGGGAGTCTGTATGAAAATTAAAATGCTCAAATAATTAATACGCTCAAATATATTGTTATTGTTGAGAAATTTACTTTTTAACAGATAATATTAAACAGTGTTTATATATTCCAGCTTACGTGCAGTTAAATTATATACTGGTTTGGATAAAAACAGCTTTCAGACATTACTATCATTGCTGTTAACCTGCGCATTTTTCTTTTACTTATTGTGTTTTGCGTAGACAATTTTGTTTTGCACTTATGGGTTGTAATGTTAATTTTCCCATCTTTCTGAAATAAAACAAAATTTTTGAAGGGGAGGGGGGCGCAGAATCCGGTTAATCCCGACTTGACTGTAAATGAACTGTGTATAGGGTACTAAACTGTTTACTAATGTTTGCTACATATCAGAAATGTGTAATCATAAATACTGAATTTACAGAAATGTCCAATAATGTGTAATCCATTATGGAAACTACGCTGTTTTTTTTTTTTTTTTGTAGTAATGTACTATAATATCAAAATACTGAACGACCTCGCACTTAGAATCCTGCATTTTTCAAATTGTTTAACGAAAAAAGCTTTGATACCTTGAGGATGATTTGCATAAATGATAATTAAATGATACATAGCTTATTTCAAAGTAGTGGTAAATATTTTCTTGTAGCATAAAACTAAGGAATAAAAAATAAATTATCTGATTTTAAGTGACAGATTGTGGATATAGTTTTTAAAAGGGCATCTGAAAGAGAATAAATTTGTTAAATTCTGGCCAATATTATTATTTTGCTCTAAAGCTGCCTTAAAAGAATGTTTTGTTGATTAAATTTTAAGTTGCTTATTTTTCCTTTAAATTCGACTACATTTTTTCCTCCTGGTTTCAAAATACACAAGTTTTTATGTTACCATCTTTTAACTTTCAAATTTTAACATTCTTGTTCATTCCGATTTAAAAACACAAGCAATATTTAGGATGGTATACAGCCATCGTATGTTTTGCTGTAATGAAAGAACCCAATCCATAAGCTTGGCAAAATATTTGAGATACTAAAGAGAGGCTTTGCCAATTGGCAAGGTGATCACCCGGCAAAAATATTTCGTTCTAAATTATGCAAGGAAGGGGATAAAGTACTAAATTTATGTTTATTTTTATTTTACTCAGGATGTTTTATGTTATTAATTATCTTAAAATCAGATGCTAAATTAACATATGTCTGATTATTGTAAAAAGGAATGACAATCTCCATTACGTATTCGCCTGTGAAGTTTACTGTTGTAATTTTTCGATTTATGTGCGAACGTTTTAATTATTTCATATGCCAGGTTACTTTTGTATATTTAATTGCATATGGTCAGAAAAACAAGTATTTCTTCATTACGTTAGCGGATTTTGCTAGATTTGTCAACCCTTACGAAATAAAATTTGTTGATGATAACATTATTTCTTTTGTCGGAAAGAGTAATTCTTCAAGGGAGTTCGTATATAGTTGATTTTATTTTAATCTTATTTACTGTTACTATTTGAAATATTTGTTTGTTGCTGCTGGCAAATGTAAGAAACATAATACAGTTTAAACTAATATTGTTAAACTAGGAGGAATTTGTTCTCTTGCAGCAGCTTTCATTTTAAAAGTATTTAAAGGCAGTATAAGTTGTGGAATTAGTTAATTAGTAATATTTACTGATTTAGCGAATTGTTTTAATGAATAAAAGTTGTGTATATTTTTAATCTATGAAAGTAATTATTGCTTTAATCTGAACGTAATTTTGATAACTGGAAAAAAAAAATAAATGTAATCTATTTTATTTAGCGCCCACCAGCGGCCGAGTGGTGAATTCGGTGAACACTGGTAGTTCGGTTCTAGGTTTGAATCCCGCGAACGGGCTGGCTGCATAGGCGTTTTCGTGGTTTTCCTCATGTGTAAAGTGGGGACGAGCCAATTTCCCTTAGAAAGTCCTCCACGAAGGCATCCCTTATGTTAGGGATATAGCGTGTTTGGGAATCAAAAAGAAGTCTGCGGGGACGAATTCAGCAGAGCACGATCGAACATTCTCAAACTCAAAACTGTGATCAAAGGATGTCTTTGTGGATGTTGAAGACATCAAGAAGAATGTGAGGTCGACATTGAAGAGCCTTCCGAAAGAGGACTTTAAAAGTTGTTTCCACAACTTATACTGCCGAGCACAGAAGTGTATTACGGCAGATGGAGATTACTTCGAAACATATTAAAAAGTTACGTTTTTCACATCTGTTTTGGTGTTATTAGAGCAGTCCTGGAAATTAATAGCCACACCTTGTAGATTGTTCATAGATAGGGGTGGAGGGAAAAAATTCGATTTCAGTATTTGTGTAAACTAACATTACTATAACTGGAAACACAGTTATTGTAATCGTTTGGAGATGAGAACAAGCGCTAGGAATAGACGGGATTTTGCTTTTTCGAATATCTTTTGGATTCGATGTGCGAGGCAGTTAAAAAGAAAGAAAGAGAAAACTCAATTTCTTTAGGCTGCAGATTAACTCTATAAGAGTAAAAAAGGTTAATATATTATTCTTCTTTCTTCATTCTCTTTGGAATGAAGATGCGGTTGGTTTTTTAATTTGGTCTTAAACCTATATTCTTTGCCTATTTTTTTGCAATGAAATTATTATTTTGAAAATTATATTAGAAATTAAGAAGACTTCGTGAAAAAATTGTTTTGAAAACTATACTCTGATGTTTTTAATATCATCCTAATCTGATACTATTTATGTACATGTGTGATTGTGATCCGCAATTATACTGCACATTGTTTGAACTTTGTAGATGTATTTCTGCTGGTCATCCAAATAATAAATCGTAATAAATATATACATACACCAGCACTTAATAAAACGAGCCTCCATTATAATTATTTATCGTAGAAGTATGAGCTCTGAGTTCCTTTCACTGCTGTTGAATTTTAAACGAGTTATTTTGAGTAGTAGTCAAAAATAAAACCGATAAATTTAACCAGCCTGTAAAACCCGTTTTCCTGCAGAGCGCATATGCTTGCAGTGAAAATGTACATTCCCTCGTACTGGCTGGCATACTCAAAATGTCAATGGAACTATTAATCTGATTATCTCTTTTCCCTTTCTTTCAGTCTTTCTTTCTTTCTTTTTTTTTTTTTTTTTTTTTTTTTAAGGTTTACAAATTTAAGTTACGTGAATTCTAAAAGTTAAGAAAAAGAAAGGAACGAAAAGAACTATATATGATATGGACTATAAAATACTTTAGAATTAATATTTGAGGTTTCATAAGTACTTGATTTGACTAATCTCCATGATGCATATAAGTACTTGATTTGACTAATCTCCATGATGTATACTGCATTAGCTTACTACGAATTTTAATTATTATCTAATCTTATCTCTTAGCGCTAAGTTCCATATTTACTTCATGTTTTCCGTTATCCGCCTTGAAAAGTTTGAGATGGCTTCATATTTTACCATAACTTAATAATTTATGAAATATAGTTTTCCTGGTAGATGACTAATTTTGATTTTATGAGAAATTTTAGTTAATTACTTTTGTTTTTATTTTCTTATTGCAAGCCTTTATGTACACATATTCATCCGTAGTCTGTTGAAACTTTTCGTTAATATATCTCGCATTCTTGAACAGTTTTCTTCAGGATATTGTCCAGTCTCTTTTCTTGATGTTGTTGTTGTCAGTTACCAAAATGTTTTGCGAGTTCATTTATTTAGAAGGGGAAAAAATATAAGAAAGAAAATTATAATTAAGAAGAAAAGAAATAAGGTAGGAATTGGGAAAACGTGGGGTTCCAGTTTGGTAAATTCCAGAAAATTGTACCTGTCGATCAATACCTTTATTTGATTTTGCAATCCCGAATTTTTTGTGTATTCGTCAGTTGCAATATTTTTCGCGTTATGTACCGTCCAACAAGAATTAAATCTTTTCTAACTCAAGAAACTGTTCCATATTGATATAAATATAAGATGATTTTTCCATTATTTATTAGCCTTTTTTAAGGTAATAAAAGTACGCAAATGCTAATTTTTTTAAGTCGTACTAATTTTCTAAAGTAATAAAAGTATGCAAGTCTAGACTAAAGTTTTCAAATATTTTGAGAGCCTGAATAAACTTTTTAGAGATTTGAGTAAATAGTACAAAAAATATTTGGCGTTTTGGTGTAACTAAACTATGCAAAACTTTTATTGACACCTGTTTTATAATCATAAAATAAATGTCAGAAAATATCTAGTGTAGTGGAAATACCTATTTTGATATCTTATATAGCGTAATATGCCAAATATTCATTGCTACCTGTTTTATAATCATAATCATAGTAATTATCAAACAATCGTTAATAAAATTAAAGTTTAATTATATCAATTTCCTTGTGTAGCGTAACTCTGCCAAACTTTTATTGATGTCTGTTTTATAATTTTAGTGGTCATAAAATAAATGTCAAAGTTTAGTATAGTAAAAATCGACATTCTTCTGTTATCAGAATAGATTCAGAAATGTATGTATATGTATGTACATCTATGTATGGTTGGTTGTACGTATTCGTGTATGCATCTGTATATGTACGAACATACTCACATACATACATGTATTCACATTCATAAATGTTCACGTGCATACATACATTTCTGAATTTTTTTATTACATCAAGTAGTAGTTTTTTTCGTTTATAATCTTTGTTTTATTTATTTCTTTGAGACTTATTTTTTCATGTATTAGTATATGAAAAATATAGAAATTTATTTTCATCATGTTACATAGCTTTGAATGTAGTATTTTTATATATGACAGTGTATTGGATTTAATTTTATTTTAAAATTATTTGTTAGTTTATTGATTTTAATTATATAAACTTACCAGTTTTCACTTTCAAATATTTATATGGGGCATTATATGTTTGAATACAAATGTGCTTCATGTGTTGTATATTTATGGGCTTCATATATGACGGTTGATAAAAATATCGAGAACATTCTTATTATTTATTTGAAGATTGGGTCTGAGAGTTAAATAAATTGTGCACTACAAAAATTTTATTAAATTTGTCAGTTTTGATTGTTAATAGCCTTAGCTGCTTTATTAAGGAAAATCTATTACATTTAATAAATGCAACGCACTTAATTTCAGTTAGGGTACAAGGTTGATGATTTCTGACAAAATATTCATATAATGATATTTATAAAGGTTAATAAAATTAATGAAGTATGGTAGCTTGCTTTAGCTACCATACTTCATTAATTTTATTTAGCTTTTATTCTCTGTCAGCATCTTTAGCTTTTATTTCTCTGTCAGCATTCTTTTAATGCTGACAGAGAAATTAATTGCTAATAAAGTTGAAAGGTTGCCAATAGTGATAAAGGCAACTTTGTAACCTTAACTGAAGATAAAATATGCAATACATGTTCATATATAGAGGTTGTATGAGGAAATGTATATTAATTATGATAAAGTATATATGGAATATTTTTTTTTTTTTTTGAATTATCACGTCTAATTTCTTTTCATTTTACAGAGTGATAGTAATGCTAGCTTCCTGAGAGCAGCTAGAGCTGGAAATGTGGAGAAAGTGCTTGAATACCTGAAGGGGAGCATTGACATTAATACATGTAATGCTGTAAGTAATTGGGAAATTCAGTCTTAATGTTTCATTATGGAAAGTTTAAACAAGAACATGCAAGTTTAATTAGTTTTTGTGTTGTAATTATTGTCCCACTTTGTTCTTTTCTAACTTAGATTTTTGACTATTAGGGAAAGAATATTTTTAACGAATCTACAGGTTGTTCAACAGAAGAAATGTCAAAATATACATTTTAAACATTGAACCCAGGCTTATATTTATAATTACTGTCTTTCTCAAAATAAAACATAGAATTTTATGTCTTATTACCAGTAGAGGCAGGATTCTGTAAAATAAAATCTGCTTTTGCAAAATGAATGCTTTATTAACTGGAACTGATCCCTATAAAATTCCATTTGATAAAATTTTGATTAATTCATTATTAATAAATTAAAAAATATCGAGCTTTTTAATAGGAAGTTCCTGAAGATATTCTTATTTATGTAAAGCTAAAACTGATAATGATGAATGTTTTATTGAAAATAGTCATTGTAGTTGTCAAAATAAGCAGCTTTTATTTTGAAATGATTGAATTATGTTGTTCTGAAGCTTCTCATTAAACTTGTTTTGCAGAATTCTTGAATTATGTAAGTAATAATCATGAGAAAAAGTGATTAAAAAACCGGAAAGACTGAGTATGCACTGTTATAAGTCTCTAAAGAAGCTTTTTGTTATGGTTTTTTGCTTTGAGTGTTCAAATCCGAATTTAATACTGCTAATTTAAGTTTTTATGGTAATGATACACTTAGCAAGGATACTTTAAAAAAATGCACTGTTGGTTTATGTACTTGCATGATACCACTTTTCAGCCTTAAAGACTGGACCAATTCTGGACAGTCTTTGCTACTGGATTGCAACAAATCAATATATAGGGTGGCCATAATTAAACTGACAGTGCTCGCAGTGTTCTGTAGCGCGATCTATTTGCGAGAATGACACCACATTTTGTAGGAAGATTAAACAAGATGGGGGACGAAGGATTCCGTGAAAAAACAAATTAGTTCCAAAAGTCATCGCTAGGGGAATATTTGGCGCCATGTAGTAGAAAATAGAGTGTTAACAAATGCAAATCAATATGGAAATTACCTTTTATTTTGCATTCAAATGAGGTTCAATGTGGCTGCTGCTGTTGTTGGGGAACCACATATTGCATTCTGTGCACAGTATGCACAACAGCAGAAAGTAACATGTCTGCAGGAACCTCCCGTACAGTTCGTGATATGTTATCCTTCAGCATAGCCAGGTCCTGGACCACTCCTTGATAGACCTTGGACTTAAGGTAACCCCCATAGCCAGAAGTCGCATGGGGTAAGATCAGGTGACCGAGGTGGCCATGCAGTTAGAAAGTAGCGGCTAATGACTCTTTCTGTTGTGAATTTCTGTCATAGCATCTGTTGCACCCATACAGCAACGTGTGGAGAGGTTCCATCTTGCATGAAAATGATTTCCCCCAGGCATTGTCTTTGCTGAAGTGCCGGAATGACAAAGCTGTTCTACATGTGGCGATATTTTTCTCTGGTAACAGAACAGGTTTCCGGTCCTGTCGGGGTAATGTTCTCATAGAAATGGACCTACAATAAATTCCGCTGTGAATCCACACCAAACAGTTACCTTTGGTGAACGTAAGGGAATTGCTGTGACTGTATGTGGTGATGATTTGTCATCCCAAATTCGGCATATCATCCCAAATTTCTGGGTATTCACAGTTCCATTCAGGTAAAAGTGGGCCTCGTCTCCCCATAAGATTTTCCACGGCCAAGGATCATCCACCTCCATTCTGGCAAGAAAGGTGAGAGCAAAAGTCAATCGCTTATCATGGTCGGGGTACAGTAACTCCTGTACCCGGCTGATCTTGTACGGATAGAAGTTGATAATCTTTCGTAAGATTTTTCATACCGTACTGTAAGGCATATACATATAATTTTATTCCGTATTAATTTGCATTTGTTAACACTCTATTTTCTATTACACAGTGCCAAATATTCCCCTAGCGGTAACTTTTGAAACTAATTTGTTTTTTCGCGGAATCCTTCGTCCCCCGTCTTGTTTAATCTTCCTACAAAATGTGGCCTCATTCTCACAAATAGTTCGCGCTACAGAATACTGTGAGCACTGTCAGTTTAATTATGGGCACCCGGTATAATTAATTAGGAAGTTTGAAAGATAGGTATTGTTCTGTTTATCCGGACCAGATTCAGAAATGCATGTATTGATCTGTATGTTCATGTATGCATGTATAATTTATATGTATGCATCTATGTGAGTATACACACACACACACACGCACATGTACAAATACATGCGTACATACATTTTTTAATCCCGTCCTGATAACAGAAGAGTACTGAATGAACTTAGGGTATCTTTTCATACTGCTTCCATGGTCGACAATGTGCATGGACTGCCATGATGAGCTGGCTTCAGAAGGCAATGCTCTATTTAAGCTGAAACACAGAATCCCCTGTTTCTTTGTATTACTGTTGCCTGTGACAGATAGTTTGTTTTGCAGTACAGTGGTTAAAAAAATTATATGTTCAAATCACTATGGATTCCAAATGAATTTGGACGAAAAAGAATGGTTTACTGATGCTTGGACTAAAGGAAGTATTCATCTAGTGTAAAGTATTGGTGCATATAATAGGGCTGTGAACAGTGTAATCCATCGAAAGCTGCTTCTGCCAAGCAGTAAAATAACTACCGAGCTTCCTATTTGCAACTATTTTATAAGCTAGTTGAGACGAGCCTGCACATTGTTCTTCGGATTCCTCTGTGATGGCAGGAAAATACACATGATTTGAATAACCACATTTGTAATTTGGTGTGAAAGGTTTGCCCTTATTTGTTTCACAGAAGAAAAAGTGCATAATATTTTATTTCTAAGTGCATTTTTCAACTAATTTTTTAATTTATTTAAATAGCTTCTTGTTTATTTTGTTTTTGCATTTTTTTTAACCTTTTATAATTACGAATTGTCAAAATTATTTTCCTTTTAGACTGTTTTGTAGTCCTTTATGTTTTTCTGAAATGGTTTTCTTTGAGGATTATTTAATACTTAGTATTTTTTAGATATATTTATAAATAGCATCATAACATTTTTAAGTTACTTGGTTTAATCATTAATTTTTGCATTAACAAATGTTGAATTAATTTTCAAGTGACAATTTTAAAGTTTTTGAGTGAATACTATTTATGTGAAGCAATGCAAAATAAAATCATCTTTAAATCTGCTTTTTATATATTTTCTTTGCTGCTGCCATAGGTCATATATTAAAAAATATTCATTTTTAAAGCAAAGCTAATAGAAAATAGTCTGTAGAGAATAGAAAATAATTAGCTAATAGAAAAATGATACTTGCAAAATGTGGCTAGAAAAGGGGGGAGAAAATATTAACTTTTGCAGGTATCTTGCATATAACGGAAAGGTTTGGTAAACATATTTCGATTTTTAAGTGCCTGAAAATTTTTTCTTTTATCTATTATATTAAGAGTACTCCAAGACCTATTATGCTAAGACTTCTGATATGTATCTTAGGATAATTTTATCATACTGGGTATGGCTTAATTGCTCTGTTACTTAGTGTGTACATTAGGTTAATTGGAAGCAGAAAAGATGAAAAATATGCAACGGCCTTCGCTGGGAATCGAACCATGGACCTCTGGAATACCGGCCCAGCGTGCTACCCTAGCGTGCTTGAAGGCACACTAGGGAAGTGGGAGAAATACCTTATAAGTGTACCTAAAAAACTTTGTTAATATTCTATGACATGTATCAAATACTTTGAATATGCCATTCTTTATTAATTTAAAGCATTTTGTATTTCTTTTTCTCAGAATGGGCTGAATGCTCTTCATTTAGCCTCAAAGGAAGGCCATGTAGCTGTAGTCCAAGAGTTAGTCAAAAGAGGTGCTAACGTTAATATTGCTACTAAGGTAAGAAGCGTTCTTTAAAATATTTCTTAGATATTAAAATGTAAATTAAGGAGTTAAAAGGCAAGCAAATTAAGTATAATGAAACATATGATATGTGAGGGACTACACAAGTGGCAGTCTTAAAGCTGTTATGAGGTAAAAGATGACATGACTACATGCTTCCACATTGCAAGAGCAGTAACTTGTTCATTAATGACTCCGCCTAACATAGCAAGAATTATGAATTTGAAACCAGTGTCAAGAGATTTTAGCGCTCTGCAGTGAGTCTATGATCGAAGCCTCTCAAATGCGAGAGCCTGAAGAACCACCGACTCTTTAGCTCCTCTGATTGTCTTACACTATAAGAATCAGAAAACATAAAATATAACTGAAAAATTAAGAGGGTATGACTTATTCTGTCTGCAGACTATTTCAGACAGAGAAACATATCAGAATGCTCTTAAAATCTCGAAGAGAGGCTTACTACTTACAAGATCCTCACATAATGAAGACAGTATTTATTTATCTTTCGAATGCATTCGGTATTAATTGTCAGTTGTGGTTATTGTATTCTTAAAAGAGCTTCTTATAGATTTATTATAAATGTGTTTTAGTTCTGTATGCAGTAATATGTAACTTTTCTTGTGTGGCCCATTATGGGATTTCCCTGTGTAATATAAAAATTAGACTGATTGTTAGAATTTGCCATTGAACACAGTATTTTATGAAATGTCTATAGCTATTCATCCTTTCTGCTTAAAAATGCATATATTCTCTAACTTTCAGAAAGGAAATACTGCTCTTCATATAGCTTCCCTGGCTGGCCAGGAGGAGGTTGTCAAGATATTGGTACAGAATGGAGCAAATGTAAACCTTCAGTCACAGAATGGCTTCACACCTTTGTATATGGCAGCTCAAGAAAATCATGATGGAGTTGTGAAATTTCTATTGGCAAATAATGCTAATCAGAGTTTGGCAACAGAGGTATGTCTGTAGCAATTTCATTAACTCATAATCTGCTGTTACTTTATTTATTTCATTTTCTTATGTATTTTTTTTAATAAATTTTAGGTGAGTAAAAATTGACTGAGTTTCTTCTTTCTTTCTTTGAGTTAAATGAATTTTATATGTATGCTGAAAATATTTTAAATTTTTATATTTTATGATTTAAAGGTAGAAAATTGATTTTAAATAAAAGAATAAAGGAATCCCCATATTAAGATGATAATTATATTTTTGTACTTGCAAATAAGGCTAAAGTACATTTTTAAAAATTAGCCTAATTATTTTTCAGTTTTGCTTTTTAAAGAAATATCTTATCTGATGTTATTTGTAAATTGTAGCCTAATTATTTTTCGGTTTTACTTTTTGAAAGAAATATCTTGTCTGCCAATATTTGTAAGTTGTAAGATAACTGAATGAATGTAGTGGCTTTTCAATTATTTTTACATTTCATCTTTGAGTGTTTTTGCTTTGTATGTTTAATCCTATGATGCTGTGTTTCATTTCCTTTGATGCTTAATATTATATCAAAACAATGTAAAACGTTATTTTGTCGTAACACTAAGCATAATTTATCACTTTCAAATGTATTAAATTAATTTGTGAGTGAGCAAGCAAAGCTAATAGAAAATAATTTCAAGTGTAGTAAATTAATTTGAGCTATTATGATTTTTGTCTAATAAAAAACAAAATTAACAATTAGCTTTTTGCTGCGTACACTTCTAGTAAGGAATTAGGAAATCAATCCCCCCTTTTCATATTTTTGTTTGAATTTTGTTAAATACGTAGAGATTTTCAGATGCCTTATTTAATCTTGCCATATTTGAATAATTACATTGAGGTTTATATCTGATTCCAGGTGTATCATATATAACTTCATGGATCAATATTTAGAATTCGGATTATGTGCAAATTTTATCATGTGTTAGAATCACAGAAACCTTTATTCAGTATTTATTTAGTATTTCTATATTTTTCCCTTTTCTTTTTTTTAAAATATGATTATTTTGCATTTAGAAATGTTTTTTATGAACTGAGGAATCTGAAGAAAAATAGCCTTAATGTTTTTAAATTGATGTATAAATAAATGTGTTTCATATGTTAACATAAAAAATTTAGTTTTATGAACTGGAGACAAATTCATTAAAAAAAAAAGGATTTTTTTTCATTATGATTCAGGGTTTATCTCAGATATGGAAAGCCAGCTAAATGAAGAAAGGTGTCATTCAACAATTTTTATGAGTACATTCAAAATAGAATTTAAACTGTATTCAGTTATAGTAAGCAAAATATGGATGAGTTTACAGTGGCTTTTCGTCCCATGTAGTTAATTTTTATCACAGCCGCTTTCTTTCTTTCTTTTCTTTTCTTTTCTTTTTTTTTTCCTAATCAGAAAAGGTCTCTGCAAATTTTTGGACATTTTGTTCATATGTGTGATGTTATAACCCTAAATCATAAAATGCAAGTGTTATTCCTGTTTTTAGGAATAATTCTGAATTTTTAGTAAAAATGTATCTTTGTTTTTTTTTAGGATGGTTTTACTCCTTTGGCAGTTGCATTACAGCAAGGCCATGACAAAGTTGTAGCTGTCTTACTAGAAAATGATGCTAAAGGCCGTGTCAGGTTACCTGCACTACATATAGCTGCTAAAAAAGACGATTGTAAAGCTGCTGCGTTGCTTTTGCAGAATGATCATGACCCTGATGTTACTTCGAAAGTATGTCAAAGTTTCATTCTTATTCTTATTAAAAATACTTTGTCACAAGGTAATTGAACATAATGCTTGAATATCATTCCAGAGTGGCTTCACACCCTTGCATATTGCAGCCCATTATGGGAATGAAAATATTGCTACCCTGTTACTTGAGAAGAATGCTGATGTCAATTATTCCGCTAAGGTTAGTTACAATAAACAGACCACATGAATTGAACTCTAATTTCATATTTAAGAATGTGTTAAAATTTGGAAAAATGTTTCTTTTATTCATTCCTATAATAAAGAGGGTCTAGCAGAAAAACTCTCCCAATAAAATAAAAATGCAAATATACCATAGACTTTTATTGCATTAATAGAAGAAATGTGCCATTGCCATCTTCAATGCAGAATTTCTTATTATAACAGTTTTCGATCTGATTACAGTCAGCTCCCAATTAACTGAGCATTATCTAAATAAAATAGTGAAGTTTGTTTACTGCAGAATGGGAAAAAAATTCTGTCGCAAAACAAAAATGTATACAGAAATTTTTAAAAAAAGAATGTGGCGTAACATCAATGGTAGCATGTGATGTCATAGTATTTGGAAATTTTATCTATAATTTAATTATAAATAATCCTAAATATATAAACATTGTTAAAATATTCATTAAAAATAAATCTAACTGAAGAGCCACTGATCTTCTGTTTCCCATGACTTTGAGTAAGATGCAAGAATAATATAAATGTGAAATACAAGAGTAATATAAATATAAAATACAAGAGTAATATAAATCTAAATAGAAGCTTATATCATGAAGAAAAAAAAAGAAATTGTGTAATTTTGTTTAAAAAATGACATCCATATGCTTACCTACATGTCATACAGCATTTCCAAGGCCTACCTTTTAAACTGTATACAAATATCTGATTGTTGAACTATGTTGTTCTTTTTTTCCCAGATAATCCTTTCCTGGAGAAAATCCTGCCAGTAGTTTAAGGCTTAGATTTAAAAATGTTCCCTTTCATATATCTCCAGAAAGAGAAATCTGACTGAGAAATGATTAGCATACCTATCATGGAATGTGAACCATACAGTGAAATAAGGCATCATAAAAATAACTGTAAATAGTTTTGCATGGTGTTATCAGTAGTCAGTAGTGTCTGTAATATTGCAGAAGATTACCTTTGCATTTCTGCACAATGGGTGTCCTGAAAGGTATTTGGACTTCAGTAAAAACTGTCTTCTGTATTGATGCATGCATAATATATGTGTTTTTCTGTTGATGCTATGCTGTATTTTATAACCTGATTGGGAACCTTCTTGAATTAAGCAATTATTTCACATTCACAATGGGTGAAGTTTTTCTGCTGGACTGTTTTTAACTTTTGATGTTGGTGGGTTTCTTTAAAAATGTTTTAAATTTACTAGCTGTCTAAAAGTGTTGCAGTGTGATTAATGTAAAAACTAAGAAATCACTTATTTATTTGAATCTTTTTTAATAATCAAATATTATTAGTGCAGTTTTATTCAGAGGTATTAAAACTATTAAACAAAAAGGTAAAAGCAGGTAGAGGGAGCTGAAATAAGCAGACTTTATAATAGGATGTGTGTGTCAAAATAAATTGGTAAGGTGGAACAGGATGATGCCGAGTTGTGGGTAAAAGTACTTTGCTGTCATAGATCATTATCCTCAGTGTAGATTGTGAGTGATATGCATCATCACACAAAAGCAAACTATGCCGAGATGCATTTTATCTGTGGGGCTGCCGGTGGGGGAGGGAATGGAGTAGCCATTCAAAATAAGTACTCAGGAATCATACCTCTTTTAAGTAGCTGCTCTATTTTAATTGTTATGTCATGTATAAAATACTCGTTAGCAAATTTTGCTATTATGTCATGATGCATACTGATCAAAATCCACAATAAGAATGATGAGTTATGTCAGTATAGAGCTCTACATATTGCTGAGCAGTATCCCGTACCACCTCAGTGTGCCATTTTGAACGTACGTTTCATTACAAAATCTGCTCATTCCAGTTCCCTCTATTTCCCTTTACATTTTTCCCGATAGTTTTGAATCACTTTGGATATGTATAAATGTATGTATGTCCACGTACACAAGCTAACTAAAAATTTTCAGTGAAATTTCAATGTTTAAATTTTGTTTTGCAATATTAACCTTTTCCCATGGCCTATACGTTTTATGTATAAGAAGTATTTAGTCAGCTATTTTTACAGGAAGGAAAAAGAAAAACAGATCAACAGGGTCTTACACTTCCTACTCTGTATTAAAAAGTAAATTTTAAATCTCCATTTTCTTGACACTTGCATAAAGTAGTGAATGTGCAGGATATGGCCCAACCCCCTGGAAAAGATCAAGCTCTTTGAGAATCTTTTAAATTTTCCTTGGTATTGTTCAAATTATTATGAATAAACTAAGCTATTTAAAAGCAATAGATGCAGTTTGTAAGATTATTATTATTATTATTATTATTATTTTTACTTTTTAATATGGCTCATTATCTGATAATCTGGTTAGCTTTAATTTATTAATTCATGATGTAGCTAATTAAAAGCATTAAATATTTTTAGAACGTTATATATATATGTATATATTACCTACATGCACACATATACATACACATATATATACAGAGTGTTTCATAGATCATGGGGCAAACTTGGATTGGTGGTGGAGCATATTAAAAAATGCATTTTTTTTTTAAATATTAAAAAATGCATTTTTTTAATAGGAATGCAGGGTCTAAAGTGACGGGTTAAGGCAGGAACGCAAAAAAATGACACGAGAGGAAAATGTGTTTATGTACAAAATCAGTGCAAAGTGCTTCTTTGTAGGAATACAATATTCACTATAAATGTTCAAAATTGTGACCACAAGTAGTAATACATGCTTGGTAACGTCGCAGAAGGGATTGACGAACATTTTGAAAAACGACAGGCATTTCGCACACACTTGCAGCCGCAATGGATAGTCTTGCAACAAGGTCCTCCAGTGAGTCAACGGGAGTCTCGTAAATGATGCTCTTCAGATGGCCCCATAAAAAAAATCCAAGCCGGATAAATCTGGCGTACGGGGTGGCCATTGAATAGGTCCACCACGGCCAAATCTTCGGCCCGTAAATGTCTCATGCGATCACGAATGACAGCTGGAACATCCTGCAGCAATTCTGGTAGCACCTGTTTCAGAAAAAAATAATAACATAAGCCATTTGTATGTGCAGGTAAGAGGTATGGGCCTATGAGGTAGACGTTAACAATACCCCCCCCCCACACACATTCATGGAGAAGCGAGTTTGGAATGCATGTTTGCGTGTGCCGTGTGGATTATGAGTTGCCCACATGTGCATGTTGTGGCTATTGAAGATGCCATCCTGTGAGAAAGTTGCCTTGTCCGTGAATAGCACATCCGATGGGAAATCCGTCTGCGCTGCCACACTGCTGCAAGAACCAAGGACAGAAATTAACTCCAAGAGGGTAATTTGTCTCTTGCAAGGCTTGGACTCTCTGCAAATGGTATGGGTCAAACCATTTTCATGCAATACTCTCCAAACGGTGGAATGACTCAGCTGCAGACGACATGCAATAGCTCTTGTACTTGTCTGAGGTGATTCATGTACTATGTTAAAGATGGATTCTTCAATGCGAGGTTGTTGTGCACTTCTCCTTCCACTAATAGTGTCAGATGTGGTTTCAAATGACCTATTTTCACACAGAGGCCGATGCAACCTATCGAACTTTGTGTGCTTCTGCATGCACGTGTTTGGAAACCCTTTATGGTACAACTGTAGTGCTGCTCTGCTGTTCCCATTTGCAGCACCATACATGAGATGCATGTCGGCCCATTCCGTGTGCATACACTTGCCCATCACGCTCGACATCAGAGTTACGAATGATCCTCTGATGCATTAAATCGGGGTTCGTCTGGCTCATTACCGCCTCCTAACGCAGCATTGCCAGCCAATCACAGCTGTAGTTCCTATTACTGTTAGTGTTCTCTTTTTTGAACATTTATTTGGAATACTGTATTGCTGCAAAGAAGTACTTTGCATTGATTTTGTACATAAACACATTTTCATCTTGAGTTGTTTTTCTGCGTTCCTCCCTTAACCCGTCATTTTAGACCCTTCATTCCTATACAAAAAATGCATGTTTTAGTATGCTCCACCACCCCTCCAAGTTTGTCCCATGATCTATGATACATATACTGTGTGTGTGTGTGTGTGTGTGTATGTGTATGTACATTCTGTTCCAAAAGTTTATGCACCCAAGTAAATTACATGTTTAAGAAAAATATAAATGTATAAAATTACCGAACTTTCTTTAACCTTTTGAAGAACCTCTATGGCCATTATAGTGGCCATAGAGTCCTCTCTTTGAAAAGACGGGGTTGTCCACTTCAGTGGCCATGTCTTTTCCCCCCCATTTTCCAGGCTGAAGAGTTGAGTGAAATGTCAAATTTGACGTTCCTGGGGTGTTAACCACTTATCTCTTTCAAAGGTCTTCCTTTTGCGACATAGATGCACCCCTCTGAGAATCCATTAAATTACACACAAGAATCTTTGTTGCAACATGAGATGATTTCTTAACCCCTTCAAGCCGGGTAGCGAAAACGCACGCTTATCGCGGAGGCCGGCAGCGTCTCTCCAGGGCCGGGAGCTTTTTTGCTACTAAGCCTAAATCCATGAAATTTCCAAAGTATCAACACATTGTTTAATGATGCTCTATAGAGTATTTAAATGGCTTATGCTTTATGGATATTTATATATATATATATACTTTAATTACCTTATTTCTTGTTTAAATGCATATTTAAACAAGAAATAAGGTAATTTTACGCATTTTAATTACTCACCATTTTATAACTTTTAACATTATACATCTGAAAACTAAATATAGTACTTAAAATTCTCTTTTCGTATGAAAAATGTGAAAACAGGGATCTACACACAGTCCTACGTTACATTCCTTGCACTCGTAATAACTCATTTGCCGTTTTGGAGAATTTTTCCAGGAATGTGAACAAACGAAGCATCGTCGTCTCATTTTCTTATCAGTCTCTTCTGAACAAAGTTTTGGAAAATGTCTTTCAGTTAATCTTTCAGAATCAATATCTGAAATATTTTGCATCATTTCTGCTATTTCATGTTCTGTTAAACATTTTCGACTCTTCGACATTGCAACGGTAAAAACAGAAAGAATTCACGTCTAACAAGATCTAATTATTTTCTAAAAACTGAACTGCAAACCGAAATACTCAAAGCTTTAGCGCATATAAAACTTCTACTTATAATAAACAACTACCACGTGCAAATAAAGTGTGATTTAAAGAGACGTAATAAATCACGCCATTCGGAAACATTCAGTTCCCCGTTTGTTTATATAATGAAAAACACGTGTATGCGAGTCATGCTTCTCTCATTTCGAGTAGAAGGTCTAATGTACATGTAACTGAAACCATATGGACATACAGTGCCATCTTGTGGCAGAAATTATAGTTTGAAAAACATTCCAGGACACTGGCACAAATACGTGACAGTCGGTAGTAAACGGAAAAATGCTCTGTCACGCCTGCGTGTCGGCCGGGAGGTGAGTGTGTTTGTTGCTGGCACATAGACGTGACAGTCGGCGCGAAGGGGTTAAAGGGGGGAAGCATTCGGTTCAAGATTCGCCGTCCTTTGGTAACTTTTACTGCTACCAAAGCCCCGGCCACAAAAAGTTAAAACACACATTCAAAATGCATTAAAGTAACTTTACTGCATGTACATGTATTAAAATATTTTTATTTAAAACACATAGGAAATAAAGTAGTTCTGTTAAACAAATTTTGAAACTTCTGAATCGATCTGTAAACAGGATTTATTGTGTAATGTGACGCAAGAAGCCACATCAGCCAAAACCATGTTCAGGAAGACCCTGAATGATGGATAGTCGTAGTAATAGGTGAATACAAAGAATTGTTTTGACACAGAAAAAGTCAATTTTCCAAATTACAAGGGCTTTTGGATTGCAAATATTTCAAAACACTGTTCATAGGCGAATTAAGAAATCTGGTTGTGTGATTCACGTAAAAATGGTTCAGTCATTACCGTTTTCAAAGCTTCATGAATGAATGAGTTTGCAATGGGCTCATAATCACATGGCATATGGTGACAAAAGATCTCTGTTATTTTTAGTGATGAAAAAAGAATGAAAACTAGATAGTTCTGACGAATATTCATATTACTTGCATGACTTATGAATAGAGTCTTGGAGCTATTTCAGTAGAAACAATTGAGGTGGATCTGTTGTGGTGTGAGCAGCTTTCCATTTCAACAGTCACTTGGGTTTCACCTGTTCAGATGGTTAGCAAGATTCATCGTTTGCAGAAATACTAAGAGACCATCTTATGCTATTTATAGAAAACTTTGGTGGACAAAATTGGGACAGCATGACAGTGCTCCCATTCATACTTCTAATAATACAAGAATATACCTAGATATAAAAAATGTCACTATTCTTAAATGGTTACCAATGAGCCCCGGTTTTAATGGGATCGAGAATGTGTGGAGTGTTATGCCTCGGACAGTTTGAGAATGGAAGGCAGTTTTCTTCTGTCAATGCCTTAAAAGCAGCAATTGAGATTGCATGCTACAGGATGGAACCAGAGTTATTACAAAACTGGTTCTCTCCATGGAGAAACTTGTATTCAACATCAAACTAAATAATGGGACGACTTTGAAGTATTAAGTGATTTAAAATTGATCACAAGTTGTTAAAATGTTAATAATCTATAAACTTTTGAGACGAATATTCTTCTGTGTTTTTATTTTTTTCTAAAATACAAATTGTTATTTTAGTTTAACATTTACTGCAATGCAAGTCACATGTTATTTAAATAAACAGATTTTTGTTTGGTGTTAGTGTTCCTTTCCAATTTTCTAAAATATGTTTTATAGTTGAGTCTATAAACTTTTGGGACAGAGTGTATGTAATATATATATTTATATGTAATATAAGCAAGACTGATGGCATAGATTGTTGATCAATATTGAAAGGAAAACTGATAGTAGATGTTAATGCACTATGAAGAGCAAACTTGGCAGACAAGGATGTGTTTTTCACTTTTCATTTGAGTCTCTTGCATTTGGTAAAATATAAGATATTTATCTTCCATGTTTAATTTATCTGTTATTAACTAGCTGGGTTCTTTTAAAAACAATAGTTGCTGTTCGTAAGAATATTTCTTTTTTTTTTCCCTTTTCAGTTTAGTTGATTTAGGCAAAAATGCATTTAATTCATGAAACATCTAATTAAAAGTATTAAATATTTTTATAGAAAACCCTTTCAGATTTTTTTAAAATTTATTTTTCAGTATTGCCATAGTACATGTGAATTCTTGACTGATGAATGTAAAATCTAAGTTAATTTTTATAAAATGATGTATTTTCAGAGAACATTTGATTGATATTGTGTATGTGAATCACTATCCTTTTTCCATTTTAGCACCAGATTACACCTTTACATGTTGCAGCTAAGTGGGGAAAATCTAATATGGTCAATTTACTCATTGATAAAGGTGCTAAAATTGATGCCTCCACAAGGGTAAGCCCTTTTCCTCCTATTCACTTCCTTTGATTCTATTTGTTTTGTTCATAAATTATTTAAATATTTTTTTTTTATCTACCAGAAGGGGGAAATAGCTACCAATTTGATTATTATCTATCATAAGAGTTTTGGCTGCATCTAACCAATAAAATTCAGTGTCAGAGATGACAAAGAGTTGTAGAATATTTTGTCAGAGATTAATGCTATTAAATATATTTATTAAAATTTTGTGCTATTAACCCTCAGACTGACCACTTATCTGAAACTGTGGTAAAAATGAGATTTTTTTTTATACTGCTCATAAAATTTCAATACCACTCGTACTTTTTTATACCAGATACCTTTTTCTTTTAATACACTGCTTTAGTTACTTGGACAAATTTCAAGATGCACATATGTATAGTAATTTAAAGCTGTTACAAAATATTCTAGGCCTTTAATGTATAGTCTGGCCAGTTGAGAGGTTAATTATGAATAATCGTGTTATGATGGGGGAAAAATCATATTTCTCTGATTATTATGGTCAGTTTAGAAAGCTCTAATTTTAATGTTTTTAAAAAGAATAAAAAAAATTTTTCAATTCTGTTAGTTACTGTCATGATTTGTTTTAATGTATTCATTTTGAAATTGAAAAATAATTAAATGTAGAAGAATGAATTTATGGAGGTTTTGCTCATATTTTGTCTTTAAATATAATGTATGGTGGAATTTTGATTATTCAAAAGTCTTCAAGTTATGATCTTAGGAATACTAAAAAACTCACCTCATGACCACCAGATACTGCAATCGATAAAGATCATAGTATAGTTTAGAATAGGACTTGTGTTTAGTGTTATATAGTTTAATGTACTATATTTATATATAGTACAAATAAAAGTAAAAATTTTTATATTATAGCCCATTAGCTACCTTTATTTATATACAGTCAAAAGTTGTTAATCCGGACTCGTCGGGACATCGGCGATTCCGGATTATCGATTTTTCCGGATTATAGATAATCAGTTTAAATCTGGTAAGATGGCATGCAGAAATTATAAAATAAAAAACATGAAACCATAATTTATGAAATAAAGAACAATTATGATCTAAAGGGTATCAAAATTTACAAAAAAAAAAAAAAAAAAAAAAAAAAAGCTTAATATTTATTTGTTTATTTTACTTTCTTCGCTATTGGAAGCAAATTATAATGACGAGGAATTTGATTTAAATCATATCAAAGACGGAGTACATCGAGATGAAATACTACATTTAGTAAGGAATTGTAAGCCAAATAAAATAAAAACATCTGCCCTGAAGATAAGGATAGTGCTGACAGATCAACTTCCAACTCATTGCACGCCAAGGCGCCCCCCCCCCCCCAGCCACAGAGCAGCGTGAAATTGTTAAACAGATTTCGGAATGGTTAGAGAAACGAAGGATATGCCTTTATCCATTTTTTGCAGCAATTCCACTTTTTGTTTAATGGACTTCGAAACATACTTTCGCTTTGTAGATCCTTTACATATTAGTAAATATATATTGGAAATTCTATTTGACACAATTGAAAGTTCAAGCTTACTTTTATAAAATTGGTCTAACAGTCTGCAAAAAATAATAAGCCAGATCCAATTCGAAGATTAAGGAACAATGCAATCTGCAACATTAACTGAATTAGATAATTTTAGCTTAGCTTATACCGTCCGTTATACATTAAACGCGCGCGCGTAAACGTATTTTGCACATGCGCACAAGCATATTCGCAGCCGTAAAGTTCGTATGCGCATGCGTCAGCACAACACATGTGCAGAAAGTTTGTAGCATTGAGGTTCGGATTATAGATTATTCCAGATTATGGGTGTCCGAATTAACGACTTTTGACTGTATTGTGGAAGTATAATATTTAAAATAAACATATTTTAATCTGAAGGCAAAGAATCTTTATTTATTTTCGTATACTTTAAGATTAATTTGCAGTAAAATGTGATACTGCTTTTTTTTCTTAATGCAACAGTCAAAGGCTATATATAAAAAAAATCATCGCTGATGTAATAAATTGTACAAGCTTTTGTTAGATTATTTATAAATGGAGATACGATGGTGATTATAGAACTTGCACTCTTAAAGAATTCTTCGTGTAGTATTATTTAACAATATTAATATTCTATTTTTTAATATTTTATTATACATTAGTGGTTCGTCATAAATTATATTTCGAGGCAATTTGTTTATTATTTCCCCCTCTTTTTTAGTTGATTAGTTCTATTAATCAAATTGTCTCTGGATTCTATTAATCGTCTCAATAAAGGATTGATAATGAAAACTGAAAGTTAAATGATGCCTAATTGATAACTTCAACAATATCAATAAGTTTGAATAATTTCATAAATGATAAATTCCACTAAAATATTTAGGTACTTATGCATTAGCACAATTACTTTGCCACAGTTTGGTAGTTTTTATATAAAAGAGAATGATCATGTATATTTGTGAAAAATCATTTATTTACAATGTGTAAACGTTATTATTATTACAATTAGTATACATATCTGAAAAAAATATCAGTTATTAAACTTCCTGCAAGCAAATTATTGTTTTGTTTGTTCTGGTGGAAATTTTATTGTGTTCCATTTGATTACAATTTTTTTAAAAAGTTTTTTTATCCAAGTGAACAAAATATGTCATAAATAAAGTGAATTTATCATTTATTTTTTTTTTATTTATTTTTTGAGAAATGCTTTTCAAGCCAAAGGGTGGGTCACATTTGTCCTAGCCATAGTTAATGGTGGAACACATTTATCCCACATGTAGCAATCGACTTACTATAAGCACACCTATTATTTTGGAAAACTTTATTATATGAAATATATTTACATTGTATGGTACAGGGTAAAAAGCAATCTTTGCATAACCCAACATTACACATTGGGCAACTCGTATTGTTCTTTTTTCTATGTTCATTTGTGTACAATGAACACAGTGGTGTCTTGATTTTCCAATTATTGGAAGATGATCCTTAAAATTCAGGAGATTCTAATCCAGACTTTTTAATCTAGCAGAACTTTTAGTGGGACATATATGTCTTGTTATTAGTCAAAGGGTTAAAACGGATAATTGTTTGTATTAAAATTTTGCAATAAAATTCTATTTCACTACATAAATTCTTTTTCAGTTCTGCTCCGTAGACAGGTCCCGCAAGTGCAATTTTAAAACTGTATTCGAGACAAAATACATCACCTATCATCTATAAAAACCATTTTAATGTGGAATGCAACAAATAATATTAAAATAGTAGCAGTACTTATTAATATTGATGGACTATAATGCATGTTTATCAGAATTAGGTACTCTTTAAGAATTTGGGGACTTTAAAATTTTGTTCGAGTGTTTGTGCTAATACATAAGCATCAGTATTTATCTATAATACAAGAAAATCATGGTGGGAATTTGTCATGAAATCTGTTTTATAAAATTTAAGAAATATGCCTTTGAATTTACTTGTATTTAGTTTAAGCACTCATGTCCTATATGCTATTATTTTAAAAGAAGTATTATGGTAATTGAAAGGATTTAGTGACAGCAGCATTGCATGTTATTATTTGCAAACGTCTAGCTTATATAAATAATTAAATGAAATCTATCTGTAGTGTTGTAAAAGTACGTGAAAACCTAAATACAATCAAATAAATGCAATCTTTTGTACATTTAAGAAATATTCTCCTTTCTTCTAATTTTTTCTTCATCATGGAGTAATGCAACTTTTTTAGTTCATTAATAAATAATTATCATGACCTTTTTTTCGGCTAACTAATAAACATTTAATATTTAAAAAAATTTAAAAAAATTGTTAACTAAACCTTTGAGCTCTAGATACGTGATATATGTTAAATTTAATATATTTTATGAGAGTGAAACTATATCATGACTACTTGGGTTTTCTCTGGTATTTGCCCAGAGTATCACCCTTGATTCACTTTTCTGTTAGCAGTATGGTAATCTTTGAAGCTTCCCCAGATTCTTTTCGAAAGATGCATTTTCCTCCCTACTCTTTTTTTTTTTCTCCTCGTAAGGTAGGGTTGGAATGGCTTATTTTCTATTTGGATCTAAATTTCAGACCTATTTGGGTGAGTGAAAACCAGCAATTTATCTCATTTTGTGGGGAAGGGGTTATTTTTCCCTTGGAAATTTCTCATAAGTCATTCACCTGCTCTTAATTTTTCCTGTATTTTGCTTCATGCATCTATTGAAGATTTGCTCAGAAATGAAGAAGAAGCAAGACATTATATCTAGGCATGTGGTATTTAGCTAAAATACTGCAAATGATCCAGTTTTCACTCAGGAAATTCTACATCACTGAAGATGTGTAATGGAACTATTATGTTAACAAAACTGCTTATAAAGTGATAGTTAGACTTGTATGTTGGTTTGACAGAGCTTATTTGCTATGTTTATTTAGTAGAAGGAGACTAAGACAGCTGCAGAGAATAATAAACTGTTTGATGGGATTTTGAATGTGACAGCTAAACAGTACCAATAATAATAATAATAATAATAATAATGTACCTTGTGTAATTAATTTGCTGATACTAAAAATTTATTTCATTGCCAAAAGAAGCCAATAGATTATTAGCAGGATATTTTTGTTAAGTTAATACCAAGATAGCATATCCTGAATAATAAATAGTTTCTGAATGAAAAACGCTTGTAATGAAAAATGCTGAAAAATTAATTGTGATATTCACCAGTTGCTTATGTTTTATTCTGTGTCCTTTGTAGGATGGGTTAACTCCTCTGCACTGTGCTGCTCGAAGTGGCCATGATCAAGTAGTAGATTTGTTACTGGAAAAAGGAGCTCCTATTACTGCAAAAACAAAGGTGTGTTGTTGGTATTTTTTCATACTAAAATTTATTTTTTCAAGAAGAATAAAAGCTTTAATTTTAAAATTAATAGTTTCCTTTGTTAGTTATTTAATTAAAAAAATAATGATTACAACATAGTATATGTAAAATTTTAAATTACCTGTGTATAGAATGGACTTGCTCCCTTACATATGGCATCTCAAGGTGATCATGTAGACAGTGCCAGGATTCTTTTATACCACAAAGCACCAGTTGATGATGTGACTGTTGTAAGTATAATTGCTGAATTATAAATTTGCTACTTTGTGTTCTATAATTGATTTCTAATTACTATCTCATTAATAACAATGCCAGATGAGTAGGAGAAAATTTATGTTTTTATTGAAATTATAAGGTATTTCTCCCGCCTTCTTAGCTTACCTTCGGGGTGTAGTGGTCAGCACACTCTGCGCATTTCGAAGAGATTCGAGTCCCAGCAAGGGTGTTGCTCATTTTTCATGTCTCCTGCTTTGAAATAACCTAATGTTTCTACAAAATAAATGATATTTCAAATAGAAGCTACGAATAGCTGTAAGTAGCTCAAGGAGAAAACAGAGAATGTAAATTCTCTTTAATATGTGAGAAATATCACCAGGCATTGTTTAAAGCAATAACCACTGAGCAGAAGCTTGGTATAATCACATGATTTAGAATAACTGAAATGACTGTCAGCTCCAACATAACAGATATTCATAAGCTTACCCAATTACCTAAGCAGTTCTGAAAACTTTGAAAAAAAGTTTCCGAAAATGATTTCCGAAATGTGTTATCTGGAAATCTGTAGAATGTTGCCTCATTTGTTGGCAAGAATAGTTACCAGACTCAGTGTGATTTTTGCCTAGACATGTAATCTTAATTAACTTTACAATCAATAGGATTATAAAATCTACAATGTAATACATGAAATAAACGCTTACAAGCATAATAAGTGATAAAACAGATTTGTTGAAACAAAATATGCGATAAAATTATGGCACAAAAGAGATTAAATAAAAATTAAATGAAAACGATCTGCAACACTCTAAAAGTACATAAACGCCTCAATACAATAAAATAAATGCAAATAATTACAAAAATATCTAACATTTTGTACACTTAAGAAATCTCATTTCTTCAGGTTATCTCAGAGTAATGCAGCTTCTTAACTTCACTAATAAATGAGTAATATGACCTGTCATTTTATTTTGTTAACTAAAACCTTTGAGCCCTAGATCAGTGAAATATTTTATGTTTAATTTATTGTATAACAGTGAAGCGTATTTGAAATGCTGCAATTTAAAGGAATCTGATAGCTTTTCAATTAATGACTAAAATTTACTTTGGGCACCTTTTAGATAATTTTAGCAAGATAAAAATAAATAGCACATTTGGGAAAAGGTTTGATAGCCTTTTTTCTGTCTTTTTCGGAACAGGCCTGAACTTTGAAATGCAAAGCTTATTAAAGTAAGGCAGGCTTATGAAAATGACTTTTGAAGTGTTCAGTAAAATTAAAACAGAAGTTTTCATATATCTGATTTTATTTTTGCAGAATCTTCTCATCAATAGTGTTGAAATTCTGCTCTTTATTTACTTTGAAACTTTTTTTTTCTTGTTGAAACTTTGCTTGTTATATTAACAAAATTTCTTTAAATAAAATAATTTTTTAAATAATTATTTAATTTTTTAAATAAAACGTCATATTTAAAGAACTTTGTAATTACAAATATATATTTAAGATAAGTATTTTAACAGACATTTTTCAATTAATGAGGTACTGGTAGTAATTATATAGGGAAGTGCCAAATTCAGTAACTTGTATATTTCCCAACATGAGTAGCTCTGAAATTATGTCGTGCCAAAGAAGAATGAGCATTGATCTCATTTTTCGAGTTTTCAGTTTTTTTAATTATTAAGAGCTGATGTAATTTACTTTTCAAAGAAGGAAATAGTGTGCATTGTATTATTTAACAGCGCAGAATGGTGAAGTAAGCATCAACAAGATAGTGCCCACCACTAACCAAAATTCTATTTAATTGAATTCATGCAGTGCAAATTGTATAAGACTTAGATATGTGCTGTATAAAATATAAGATGTAAAATAATAATAGTAATAATAATAAAGTTCTAGCAGTCTCCTTGAGTAAAATAGCATGTGTTAGTAGCTTTGCAGTTGAATCCTTGAAAATATTTGCTGACCATATACCTTTCTCTAAATTTTGCACAAATTAGTTTTTTTTTAGTCAATTTCTAATTTGCATTTATTATATAGGATCTTCAAAGGAGGTGGACATGATTTTAAACAGTTTAATTAGAAAAATAGATACTTTCCCATTAAATATATCAGAAATGCTATGTTGCCAAGTGTGCAAAGTCACCAAAGGGGTTGCGAGTTTTGCACCTATTTAAAAGAGAAAACTCGATGCCATTAAGTATAAACGTAAGAATATTGGCATTCGTGAAGGGCAAAATTTGATGCTTACATATTACCCCGCTAACCATTGCCAAGATTTAGTACCATTTATGATTAAGTGTGATTTAACACCGCAGTTATAACATCTGTGCTTTCATTTAGTGTAACCTTGATTGATTCTCTATGAGCTCTTTTTTCTAAAAAAGTGAACAAGGCCATAAATTAACTGTTATTACTGTATTTTCCCTTGCATTTGGGACGGAGAGAATAAAATTTAAGAACTGTCTTCTTATTTATTACTTCAGCTTTGTTTATTATTACTTTTCAATGGAGATGGTTGTAGTTTTCCTTTAAAATTGTAAAATTCTAAATAATTAACTGATAAACAGAATTTCATAATCAGCTTATTCTTGAAACATTCCAAAGTTTTGTTTCAGTATTGATTTTGAATGCAGAAAAATCATAAGTCCTTGCTGATTTCTGCATTAATTACCGATATTATATCATTTTTGCTGTAGCATAATGGAAAGTTTTATTTTTATTTTTTGAATATGTCAGAATTTGGTTTTAAAAGATTGGGTTTCATAATCTAAAAATCTTTAGTAGGAGTGGGGAACTTCTCCTGTAATTTTATCTAGAAATATTATACTTTGAGTCTGTGAGATGTTAATCGCATAAACTTGATATTTGTGTCTACAGGATTATTTAACAGCTCTTCATGTTGCTGCTCATTGTGGCCATGTACGAGTAGCAAAGTTACTTTTAGATAGAAAAGCAGATCCAAATGCTCGGGCTTTGAATGGCTTTACACCACTCCACATCGCTTGCAAAAAGAACCGAATAAAAGTTGTTGAACTACTGTTGAAACACGGTGCATCTATTGAAGCTACCACAGAAGTAAGTTTGTTCTAAATGTTGAACTGTTCAAATGTATTTGTGATTTTACTTTGAAAAATGTTTTAAAACAAATAAAACTTCTGTAAGCTGTATTTATAGCAGCATGTTTATTTTAGAAAAATTTGCATAATTTATTTTTATACTACATTGAAAATATATGTATTATTGTTTAATGTAGATATGTACGAGGGTTGGAACTTTAATAGTGGCAACACAGCTGAAAAAATGCTACACAACAAAACCAAAGAATATCGTGTATACCATACGTGAACTACATACCTACCTTACCTCTCAGCAAAAAGACTTGTCCTGCCTATGTCACGCGCATGTGGAGTGACGCGAAGAACGGATCCTTGTATTAGCTCGCGGTCTAAAGTAAGTGTTGTCAGGAGGTTTTCAAAACAAGAACAACGATGTTGAATAAAAATTGAATGTGCCAGAGGTCGTACAGCACGACAGTGTCATCAAGGGCTTCAAGAGGCTTGCGGGGAATCTGCATTGCCTTACAGAACCGTAGCAAGATGGGTGAAAGCTTTCAATGAAGGACACCAAAACTTGGTAGATATGCTGCGGCCAGGTCGTCCGAGTGTCGGCGATGCAGACGTGCAAGCTGTTGCCGCACTAACGGACAGTGATCGCCGCCAAACTATTCGTCAGCTGGCCGGACAAACAGGATTAGCGCATACGAGTGTGCTGCACATTCTGAAGGAACACCTGTCCATGAGAAAAATTGCTTCACGATGGGTTCCACATCAATTGATGGAAATGCAGAAATGGCTATGATACGATGCTGCCCGAACCTACCTGGAGCGCTATGAGCGCGAAGGAGATGCTTTTTTACGCTGGATGAGACTTGGGCCCGATCGCACCAGCCAGAACTGAAACGCCAATCAAACGAATGGCATCGTCACGGGTCACCACGGCGTTCGAAATTTCGTTAGAACCCCAGCAATGTGAAAGTTATGGTGATTCTCGTTTACAACTGTGATGGTGTCATCCTAATGCATACCGTTCCCCCACAGCAGACCGTCATTGCGCAGTATTACTGCTCATATTTGGAGCACAATCTCCGACCAGCTTTGAGAAAAAAACGGCGACACTTTCTGCATAACGCTTCTCTCATTTTGCATGACAAAGCTCGGCCACATGCAGCGCAAGCTGTGACTGATTTGTTCAAGCGATGGGGCTGGGAAGTGCTTTACCTTCCACCATACTTCCCAGATCTAAGCCTTTGTGACTATGACTTAATTCCTAAGATGAAGGAACCACTTCGTGGAACTCGCTTCCAAACTGTTCCTGAGATTCTTGCGGCAGTAGACCGGTCCATTCAAACTATCAACAAGACAGGCGCTGCTACAGGTATTCTGAGACTTCCACATCATTGAAAATCAGTTGTACACAATGCTGGTGACTATATTGAAGGACTGTAAAACATGGTGACATGTATCACTTTTGTATTCCTTGTAAATAAATAGTTGCCACTATTAAAGTTCCAACCCTCGTACAAATGTGATTGTTGAGAATTTTGTAATTATCTTTTTAAAAGTTTTCAACATGTGATTTGAACTAAAATTAAAGTTTAATGTAAGTTGTTTACTAGAAATTATTTTTTGTTTCCATTTAAGGAAAATTTAATTTTGCATTGAAATAGTAGATGATGCATATTTTATTTAGCTGTTCAAAACCATTTTCTGTAAAAAAGAAATGGAGCTAAATCTAAGGAATTACAATTTAGAGTCGGTACAAATTTCTCTTTTTTCGGTAATTAAAGGAAGAAAAACATGATTGTATTTTTTCTGTCATTAAATTTTTTTCCTCAGAGAATTATTAATTTAATTTTCTATTTTCATACACAGAAGTGGTGGATAGGATTGCTTTCTTAAAATATTTTATAAACAATCAGTTTCTTTTATTTTTTTTAAATCAGATTGTTTTAGATTTTTTTTTTTTTTTTTTTTACTAAATAAATGGCTAAATTAAGTAAAAATATGAACTCTTTTTCTTTATCTAGGAAAGCTGATTAAAACTTACATATTTTTTGCCTCTTTTTCTTTTATAAAGCGTCAGTAGAAATGGCATTTCCCCTCCTTAATTCCTTGTTCACTGTTACTGAAAGGATTTCCCCCTCCTTAATTCCTCCCTGTTCACTGTTACTGAAATCATTAAGGTGATTTCATTACAATTTATTCACTTCTATTAAATTAGGATTGTAGATGTAATTTATTTCAACTCTGATTTAGAAAAAATGCATTTAGTGTATACTTAAAGTTACTCAAATTTGTCAGAATGATGTAATTTAAAATTTCACCACAATTCAGATGGGGAAAAAAATATTCAGCAATAACCACATTCGGGGGTACCCTCCCTGAACTTACTAAGAAATTTAACTTAAAAGTATTTTGATTTGCTTTCTATATAAAAAATATTATTTGTTGTGCGAGTCAATTCCTTTAAGGATTTATTGCATAGTAGAGTATTCCAGTGAATTCTGAGAAATATTTCATATACTTACTCATTGTTATAAACTTATAAGTAATTATTGTTCAACTGTATATTTAGTCTACATTGAAAAGTAGTTTTACTGAATTCATATCTGTTGTTTTTGAAATATGATGCAGTTCTAGAATGTAACTGATAGTTTGGATATTTTATGATATTTCTGTAATAAAATGCATTTGTAGTACTTATTTTCCAACTAATAGAACTGAAGAATAACAGAAAATGGGCTGTGAAAAAAATTGTGTTATTGATAAAAATAACTAATATGAAAACAGTTTTGACATGGGCTCAGATGATAAGGAAAGCAAGAAGGTGAATTGAATCTATTCTTTGTCAGATAGCTTTGAGATCTGCAGAATTTTATAGAAAATCTGTCTGAGGTACCACCCTCCCAAGGAAATTTGTAGCTAAACAATGCACCTTTGTTAAAGAAAGAATAATTTGCTTATACATGAAATTTTTTAAAGATGATATAGGCAATAAAGGAAATTATATGTGTATGGGATTTTTAAAAGGCGACATGGCAATATTTTTTTGTACTTTGACTATAAATTAGAACAATAAGTAACTTTTGGTACTTTTAGTTGTACTAAGTCTTTAATAAGTAAAGCAATAAATATTTTCTTTTATGGTCTTTCATCCCACCCACCCCTTTTGGAGGGAGCTAAATTTTCATATTATATTAATGATGGTTCAAATCATTTTTAATGACATTTTTATGTTTTTCAGTCTGGTTTAACTCCTCTTCATGTCGCATCGTTCATGGGATGCATGAATATTGTAATATACCTTATTCAGCATGGAGCAAATGCTGATGTACCAACTGTTCGTGGTGAAACTCCTCTTCATCTTGCTGCCAGAGCTAATCAGTCAGATATAATTCGCATTCTTCTCCGTAATGGTGCTCATGTTGATGCATCAGCTAGGGTAAATATCCTACTTCTTGAATTTGTCTCTGTAAACTACCAATTTTTAAGTCTTTTTTCAATCACTTACTTAAATGCAGTAATTTCAAAATTATATATATAAAAGTATTTATATTAGCTTCCTGTTTTATAGTGAATTCTTTAATTTGTATTTGGTTCTGTTTTTTAATATTAATTGATTAAATTATAGTAATTGTTTTTATTTACCTACTTACTGATTGATTGAGTGAAGTAAATGCTAATAGTAAGATTATATTAGCAAGAGGTAGATAAGCATTTTATACTATTCCAGAAATGACTGTGTAACTGCATCATTTTTTGAAAATTTTGTACTTACCTATTAACTGATATAAAGAACTTCAGTTAAGTTATGCTGTTTAGTTTGATAATTGACAATGATGAATCCTAGAGAAGTTTATATTGATCTATCCCTAGTTCTTGCAGGTGTAATTTTGATCTAATCTCCTTGATGCATCCTAGACAGCATTCTCAAAGTTAGACAGCTAAATGGACACTGGCTAAGAATTGGTCAATTAAGCAATGGCAAAAACAGATTTTGCCATTCCGGACCAGTACTTAATGAACGAGTACTTGGACATGGGAGAGAATGAGCTTTAGTTAATGCTATGGTAATTCTCACTAGCCAAATTATTTCTTTGGTGTATACTTGGTGGAAAAAAATTGTTCTGTTATTGTTCAAATCTGTGACAGTTTTTTTTATCTGTCATATGCAGTTCTTGAGAAAATAATTTCTCATGGCAGCAGTTAGGTAGATGATATGGCATATCTAAATGGGATCCATTTTCCTTCAAATTGATTTCCTGCTGTCATTGTTATTACCTGTTAGCATTTCTCAATGGAACATTTTTATAGCCTCACTGAGAAACATTTTTTTTTTAAAGCAAAAAAAGTATATTATTAATTTTCTTGATCCCTTTCCTTCTCCATTTTTGGGCATATCTTCTCAATTTATCTTATTTTAATTTCAATAAAATCTGTTTAATTTCATTAATTTTTGCTCTTCTTATGTTAAATTTCAATTATTTTCAAATTCTTTTATAAGATGTCCCAGTTTTTATGTACAAATTTGGAAATAAAAATGAAAATAATAATGGGAATCTTAAGTTTTTGGCAACTTGCATTCATGGTATCAGTTATTATGTAAGTAACAATTTTTTTTGAAAAATCAGATTTCCGTATTTTAGGAAAAGCCATTCTTTAAATGCATTGCTTTTTCATTTAGACTGTTTTATAATTCTTTATTGTAGGAACATCAGACACCACTTCATATTGCTGCTCGCTTAGGCAATGTTGACATAGTTGGTCTATTACTTCAGCATGGTGCAGCTGTAGATGCTACTACAAAAGATATGTATACTGCACTTCACATAGCAGCAAAAGAAGGGCAAGAAGAAGTAGCATCCGTTCTTCTTGACCATAATGCATCGCTGACAGCTACAACAAAGGTAAAGTTAAAAATTCACTTTGCTTAGTATTCAGATTTATTTTATGAAGTACACCAATTTCTATTAATAAAAAATTATCTTTGTACAGTTTTGGTTTAATATAACTTAGAAGAGGAAAGCCAGTACTCTTTCATGATGATTATTTGAATCTAACATAATTCATATGGCACCTTCTAAAAATATTCAAGTAAATCTATTTTGAGGAAAAACTTCCATTTAAGAAAAATTCCTAGGATTTATATTTATGATAAAAGAAGCTGCTTAAAGTCAGTTTTCAAGTGTATGTAATTATGAAATAAATTTTCTTTTTCATATTCTAGAAAACTGACATAAGTTTTATTATTTTTTTTAAAATCTCATTTTAATTTTTTCAGCTAAAAGCACTTAGATTTAAATTAAGTAAATTTAAATTAATGAATGAGAAATCTAGCAAAACATTTGGTTAGATAAAAACATGTTTACTTCATGAAGTGGCAGCATTGATTTACTGGGAGTTTTCTTTAATTTTCATGTTTCTATATTATTTTTATACTTTTATTAGCACAATTTTTCAAAGAGCCTCTTGGCCCTGTAAAAACAAAGTTGGATGTAAATTTAATAAGAATGACTAATTTAACATATTTTTTGCAACAAAATTCAAAAAATTATTTTTTACAATTCCAGAAAGGCTTCACTCCGCTCCATTTGGCAGCTAAGTATGGCAACATTAAAGTTGCTAGGCTGCTTCTTCAAAAAGATGCTCCTGTTGATGCCCAAGGCAAGGTAAATAATTTTATTAATCTTATATAAGCATCTACTAGTTACCTTTTCTGCGAAAGGCAGTGGTTCTAAACCTTTATTGCCCATGCACCACTTTCACCATTGCTAGACTATCATTCCCCCTTCAAATCATTTATTTAAATTTAGACAAATAATTTAGACAAAATAACAAAACACTTTAAAATTTTTTAAATTAAATCATTTATTTAATTAAAAAAATTTAATGTGTTTTGTAAATTAAACACGAAAAAGTAGAGAAAATGTTTATAAATAACAGACTTTGAATAAAAGTAGTTTTTTTATTTTCATAAACTAAAAATATTTTAGATGTAAATAAAAGGCTAACTGCATTCCACTCCCCATGCAAAAAATGGAAAATATGAACCCTGGTTGCAAACCCCTGTATTAAAGCATTATTTAAACGGTGCAAAAGAGTGGCACTTGAAAATTCATGAAATTAATTTAAATCATATTTTAATAAATAAATTTAATTCATCAAATCCTATTAAAATTTACATGCAGTTTTAGTTTTTGAAAATTTAACTGGTGCATTATCAAAGGAAAACTTTACAATAACAAAAATAATTAGCATAACAGTTAGCACCTATTTCGTATGTTTTGTATGTTTTATTTTGTGTTTTTACATTAAGGTTAAAAAATTAACTCAGATTAGTTAAAAATAATTAAGAGAATAAAAATTTGAACAAATTAAATTTAAATTTTAACAAACACGTAAAAAAGCAAATTTAAAGCCAAAATTTTTTTTAAAAAAGGCAAATTTAAAGTTAAAAAATTTTTTTTAAATATTTTAAAAAATTGTGTAAACATATAAAATATTTAAAAGATTTAATTCTCAAACTAATCTACAATATTGTTTAAATTCAGAAGCATAAGCAAATCAAGTGCAAAACCAATCCATGAAAATAAATTCACTAATTTAGCAAATTAAAATTAATCCAAACAATTTTTTTTTTAAAAATGCATAAGTGAATGACTGTTGAGCAGGCAGGAGACAGACTTATCAAGGGGAAGTTGCCTCCAAACCTAACTCTCCAATCATTCAATTCGTGTTTCGTCATTCATGCAGGCAAGGGTAAAAATATTATTTAATTAAATTTGTAAGTAAATTTAAATTTGTAATTAAATTTATTTAATTAAATTCAATTTTTTATTAAGAGAATAAAAAGTTAATTAAGAAAATCATAAAGAGTTACTTGTATTGCATGTATTGATAATTGAGTTTATATCATCTTTTCAAACTGGATCATCTATTAGTACGTAAAATATTTTTATATGTTACAGTGGCAAAGAACTTGATTGTCTGCCTCAGAAAGGATTCTTTTAAGGAGGTATTTCTTGAAGAAATTGTCCCATGTTCACTATTATACTTGGTCAAAATTATAGAAATATTTTACCACTTTGCCTGTAGTGGGCCTGGTATTTTGTTGTACAAAATACTGTAGATTTTATGCATATAGACACCAAATATTAGACACCAAAAATGAAACACTAGATACCAAAAATGAAAACGTTTTCTTGGAGACTTGTATTTTATGGCAGTATACATTAAAATAACCTCTGGGTGAATAGAATGTTTAAAAAAAGATAATACAAAGCTTTAAAAATTGATAAAATGTGCTGAAATAATTTTTTTTCTCCACAAAATTTATAAAAAATGAAATACAAAGGCACTACAGGGTGTTTGATGGCAAAGCCATGAAAGAGAAACACAAACATAAGAATGACAAAGAAGCTGAAAAAATAGCTTTCTTGAATATTTATAGTAAGTGCATAAAAAACAGTCACCAGCACACAATTACAGTAAAGGGAAAGAGATTTTCCTGAATGCACTAGATACATCAATCACAAGTCAACACCAACCAAAATGCTGGTGATGAGCTCACAAAAAAGAAATCAAGATGTAGTAGATTGGACAATTATGGGAGCTTAGGTATAAGATCACTTTGCCTAATCCAGGTGCTCAAATTGGGGGCATCTAAATAGTTCCTTAAATTTTTGTTGAAAATGTGCTGATGTTCCATCATGCTGAAACTTGTATGCTGCCTTATGGCACCAGTGATTCTTTCATTCAGGAAAATATAATATTTCCCTTTATGGAGTGAGAAAATGCTTATTGTTTTTCTTGCCAGTTTTGTATTTATCCATTATCTGATTTTGAAGCTGTGCAGATTTATGATCTGTGGAACTGTGCTTGCTGATGTGCCATACTTTTCAGCATCGCAATAGGAAATGCATATGCCGTTTTCCATCATGAAAACTTTTTTAATTTGTATAAAATTGTGAATTTTATTTACTTTATATAAAGGGAATATAATGTTTTATTTTGATTCAATTAAATTTAAGCTGATCCTTTTAATACAAATAAAATATAATTACTTTACCTGATTTTAATAGTGAAAATGAAAATAAAACATTGGTTAAAAAAATTCTGCTAAGCTTTCATAGTTAGGGACATTTTTTAACATCTTGTGCGTTACCTTTATCTATTAAATACTGTGTTCATCGCACTTAAACCATAAAATTATATTCAACAGTGATATCACAAAATATTTAAAAGAGCCATATCTTTTGAATTTCCGATACAGTCTTGTGTGCTGGAGATTAAAATGTCCCCCCCCCCGCCCCAAATACAGTGTTGCTATTGCTTACTTTGAAATCATTGAGTTTCTTAATCAAAAACTCATAAATGCTTTACAAAATATGAAATAGATAATAAACAAATTCCAAGTTCCAAATTTGGGCTTTCAGATGACCATATTCTGGTGAAGACGAACGTTATTCAAAATTTTATGGCTCTAGATATTGTTGTTTTATCATAATGCGAGAAACATACACACAATTACGCAGATTCTTCATTATTTAATTTCTTTAAATATAATACAGGGCGATAATATTTGGGGGCAACAATTTAAAAAGTGATTCTCTGTTTATAGTGAATCAATTTAATATGCCAAAATGAAATTAATAGCCCTTCTGAGTAAAATTACCCCTTTGGGATAAAAATTAAATTCATTGTCTTGTTTTAGGAACAGATCTTTATTTTTTTTTTACCATTTTAAATAGGAATAGGTTGGTAATGAGTATAGGCAAGTAAAAGATGTTTTATTTTATGGGTGAAACTGTGTTTTATAGTTTGTTGTAGCAAATATGTTTTTGATAATCGTATAACACTTGTTGAAATAAAATGTAATAAGTGAAAATAAAATTTCTATATTTAATTTGCAGTAGCAGTAAATATGTATTTAGCTTATAGGAAAAAAGCAACACAATCTTGTAGGTTTTCCAGGTATTAAATTTGGACTGGATTTTTGAAGTTTAAGTGCATCTAATTTTCAAGTCAAAAGAGATGTAAAAAAAATTAATAAATGTACATATTTTCCACCTAATATTTTATGATTTTTTTTAAAATTTTCTTATAGAATGGAGTTACTCCTTTACACGTTGCTGCCCATTATGATCATGTTAATGTAGCTCTGTTGTTACTTGATAAAGGAGCTTTCCCTCATGCTACTGCTAAAAATGGATATACTCCTTTGCATATAGCTGCAAAGAAAAATCAGATGGATATTGCCACTACTCTTCTAGAGTATGGTGCAAAACCTAATGCAGAATCTAAGGTAATTTTTCTGTAAAAACTTCTGTGCAATCAATTTTGTTGGATAACTAGCTAAATTATGCTCAATTTTACAAATTTATGTAAAGCTGATTTTTTTTTATGAAAATAGTTTTTATTACTTTTCTGGCTTATTCAAAGTCTATTCAAATGTGAAACACTGAGAGTGCGTCCTGAAATTCACTTTTAACCATGAAGAATATTAATATGTTTTAAAAGAAACTTTTATGTAAAAAATATGCATCAAATTAGTAATTCCTCAGAGGTAGGTTTATATAGTTAAGAGAGATTTCTATGCCTCATCTGGAAAAAAAAAAAAAGGTTATTTGAATGAAGAAAAACACATGAAGGCAATCTATCTTAAGGGGAGATATGCCTTTGTGGAGACTAGGAAAATTGGTTTTTTACTCATTACACATTGGGAAAACTGTGAAAAACAGCCATCCTGCCATCCCATTTGCCTGGGATCAAACCCATGTCAAACTCTCAGCATTCAGTAATCTTAACCACTCAGCCACTAATTGGACAGATAGATGAAAATAAAAGTAAATTTGTCTAACAATTCTTGGTTTATAAATGAATTGCATCAACTACAAGGAAATCGAGCATTTTATTAAATAAAATTTTTATTTCACTTTTTTACTTCTTTAATAACTGTTAGCGGGTATAGCAAATTATTTAATTCAGAAATGAAATCAGTTTTTGTACTAAAAAGGTAATAGGATCTTCAGTATAAAATTCTGTAAAACAATATCCATATGACATTTGTCATTAAATATATCTTACATTTCAAATATTTTATGTTTAAAACCCTTCTACACTGCAGCTGTCTTTTTTAACCAGATAGAAGAGCTTTAGAGTGTGGCAGTTTTTATCCAGTTGGCTAATATGCCTAATGGATAAAATTCTTGGAGCAATTTTTTTTTCCATTATGTGCCTACTATGCATTTTTTTGGTCTTTAATTGTAAACAATTTCTAGTTATAGGAGTAGTTTACAGATGACAAATACACACAGCACATGGCAGATGATGGTCAATAGATCATTTGTCATGTAACAATTAGTATGGCAGGTGCATAATAGAAAAGAATGCTATGCTTAACATTTGAAATTTTAATTTAAGTTTAGTTAACTATTCATCTACACCTGGGGACCAAACTATTTGTCAATTTGTTTCTCTCATGCAATTTCATTCAAATTCATTGGATTTTGATTGTGTGGGTTCATTAGATTCATTGTGGTTCGACTTTTGTATTTTACTGGAATCGGTTTGAAAATCTGAGATTTGCCAAGCAACGAACAGACAATCATACTTTTTCAAGATAACAATCTTATCCTTGAGGAAAGACTGCATTCAGAGGAGAGAAAGGCATCTTAAAAGGAAGGTGATTGAAAACTGATGCAGTTAACCAGTCTACGGTTTATTTATTTGTGGTGCAAAGAGCTGACTCACTTTGATTTTTGTTAACTAAACTTCAATTAAGTCGCAAGACAGTGCTGGATTGGAACTACCGTAATTTCCGGAAGAAAGGCCGCATCAGCATAAACACCGCACTTGAGAAAAATGGCGGGAAAAAAATTAAAATTACACAGAAAACGCCGCAACCGCGTAAATGCCGCAATAGATTTAATTGCGCGTGACATCGTCGTGGGCCGTATAGATGCAAAATCTCAACCTATGTCTTGATATATGACATATATGTTAAGAAAAATGCATGAAATGAAATCATAACTCAAAAATAAATTAAAAGGTAAATTAAAGGTAAGAAATGTTGAAAATATATTTGCGTTCACGAATATACTTATATATACCCACTAAAGAAGTCCATATTTGTAATACTCGGACTATATTATGAAAAATGTTGCAACAACGAACTATTAAATTTGGATTACAAAAGGAAATTTTAAATTTTACTTACAAAAGCAATTACAGCAAACTATACATCATATGAAGCCATCAAAATCTGATTCTTCACTTTCTGAATTAAAAAGATTTAGTAAATCCTGATCTAAGTCCAAGTCTTCCAGATCGTCACATTCATCCTCTTGGTTTAGAGTCTCTTTATCTAAAGATATAATTTCAGTTTCTTTGAATCCTGCTACTATTGACGATGTTTTTACCAATTGCCACGCACTTCCTACCCACTTTGCAACTTCTTCATAAGATGCTCTACGCATTTTGCCACTTTTGGTATACGTATGCAATCCTTCACTCATCCAACACTCCCATCGCTTTCGGACTTCAGCTTTAAAAGATTTATTACCTGACAAATCTAATGGTTGTAAGATTTTTGTCAAACCACCAGGAATTATTGCTACGGTCGTAGACAATTTTCGACATCTGGTTTTCACTGACTCAAGTAAATGCGCATGCATGGAATCCATTATCAATAACCCTTTTGGTTGGAAAAAAGATCCCTTACGATACTGCCAAACTTTTTGTAGCCACTCATGCATGATTGTTTCGCACATCCAGCTGTTCTCGTTTGCACAAATAATTACGTCATTAGGAAAATCTCCCTTCGAAATAGTTTTCCGTTTATTATCATCGGCTTTAGCTTGTCACCGTTTGTGGCACAAGCTAACACACATGTAAATGATTTCATGTAAATAAATTCTTTCATGCCCCGTCGTAAGCACAGATACAGTTTTTGCACCAATTTCATCAACAGTTCTGCTTGCAGGAGAGTCAAAAGCTAACGACGTTTCATCCATATTTATTATCTGTGATCGAAGAAGTTTTCTTTCGTCAATAATATCTTTCACATATTTTAGAAAAGATGCCTTTTTATCCCGCCAGTCCATTGGTAATTGTTGCCCGACTGTTGTTCTAGTACGCACAGAAATATTTTTTCTTTTCATAAATCTGCTACACCAGCAAGGCCCTCCTTTGAAATCATTTATGTTCATTTGCTTTGCTATAAATTTTGCTTGTAAGCGAATTTTTACAGTCGAAATCGCCATTCCTTTTTTTCGTTGCTCCTTTATCCAGTTTGCAAGGTCGTCCGCTAGATTTGGCCACCTTACAGTACCACTTCTTTTGGCTCGTTTCTGTAGTGGCATATTTTTAAGTTCTTCTTTTTCAGTTCTCCATCTCTCGTCCACTTCAAACTCTCAAGCTGCTGCTCTATTTCCAATTTGTTCAGCACGTGAAACTACATTAAGCTTAAAACCAGCAGTATAGCTTCTGTGCCATTTAGGTGCCATTTTAAAAAATTTTCCGCTCCTTAAAACTATCCAACAAGTACTTGTACTTAAAGTTGAAAACTGTCCAACAAGTACTTGTACCCAAACTGAGGGGATCTGTATCTGGCAGAATGCCAAGAAAAATCGATTCATGCTGAAGGGGAAATACGTCGGAGTTCGTTATTGCGAGGCAGGTGGAGTCGTGTCGGCCTTTGAAAAAAATTACAGAAAAAGCAGGGGTGGAGAGAGGATGGTTCCTGGAAGATTCATCGAATGGCAGAGAGAGACTATTCAAAATGATGAGAATGCTGATTTCAAAGGGGGAAGAATGTTATTGTTCTGAAATCCCGTTTAGGGTGAATAAGGCATGTAGGTCCGTTCAAGGGAAAGAATGTAAACAAAATAACGTTCGCAAAAAGCAACTGAGTGGTCTTTTGTGTTGGAACAACTGAGTGGTCTATGTACAATGACAACGCCATCCAAACTATGTACAATGGCAAAATTATTCAAACTATGCACAATGAGCATCAAAGGAAATATTTTATTTTTAGTGCACCTAAACGCCGCATGGGTAGAAACGCTGCACCTGCTGAAAATTTAAGTTTTAAACACGTAAACGCCGCGGCGTTTCTTCCGGAAATTACGGTATTATCTCGGATAGGTTTGTTGCAATTCCTTGATGTGTTTTTCTAAAACTAAGATATGAAGTTCTGACATAATCATCTCAATCAATGAATTTACTTTACGAAAAGGAAACATAACCTAGGTTACATATTATTTCCATAGTGGGTTTTTTCTGGAGGTTTCTGTTGAGAAATGAGACAGGGCTTCCTATTTGCTGTTCCAGATCATTATTTAATGGACTAAGACTTTAATGGGCACAATAAAAAGAATAATATACCACATGGAACAATGGTATTCGCGGACTGCGGAAAAGGTTACAAATTATCCAAGCTGAAAATTGCGGGATGTGATCATTTTGCAGTGAAGTATTCATTTAATTTCATTGACATTGTCTCAGGTAGTCATTCCAATCATTCGAATGTTTTGCGGGTTGCTCTAAATGGCACAACAAATCTTAAAGAGGTACTCTCCATCAACAGTTTGACTCCTTCCTAGTAGAATTCATGTGGCATCACCTACATCTAAAAAGGAAGTGTTTTCTGCCATAATAGCAGATATTTGCAGATTTATATTTTCCATTTACTGTTCTCGTTCATTTCAGCTTCTATGTTTTTAGTAATTAAGAATGAAAAGTTATTTGTAATAATAAATGTTATTTTTAACAATAAATTGCTGTCTATAAACTATTCTTATAGCTGTTTACACTTAAAAAACCCATCAAAATGCATTGCAGGTGCGTAACAGAAAAGTATTTTGCTTCCATAAGATGATCATTCAGTACTGAATTCATCGTTGTTGTTATTGATATACAGGTGTCTTTGAGGAAATACTGTTGACTGTTCTTTATCAGAGTCTGATTCTAATAAAGAATCCTTAATTTTTCATTGGTTTCACTTATGCTTAAGTATAAACAGGAAAATACTGTTTATTTTTTATCCAAATAAGATTCAAATAAAACTCCTCAGATCTATTATCAGTGCTCATATCTAATATCACTAATGTTATTCTTACCAATCCTTTTGTTTTATATGTTTCAGTATTAACATTTTTAGACCTGTGGTATATAAAATAAAAAAAGCAAAGAAATTGTGTACCATTGCAAGCACACCAAATTGCATCATTGTAACTCATTATGACTTGGAAGTCATGAACATAGATTACATCAAAGGCAATAACAAAATAACTGTTTAAATGCAAACAAATAAGATATTGTTCAAATGTGAACCAAGAGCTGTTATCTAGCTTTTCCTTTTTACAGAAACACCCACAGAAGAAAAAAAAATAATAATTATGCAAGACAGGGTCTATAGTGTCTAGCTCTAGACTACATCTGAAAGCTTTTGCTTGTAGTATCTTAGATACAACCATTAGTGAACAATACCATGAAAGCTGCTGACTGCTATGGAAATGTTATACCAAAACAAGGTATATATACAACTTGGTAAAGAATTGCTGTATATTCCAGCATTTAACATGCACTTTTAATACAAGAAATAAGATTGAAATTTATGGTTGCTTATTATACACCAGATATAAAAATGATAAATTTAAAAATAAGAAAAAGATGAGTATATAAAAATTAGATTTTTACATGTGCCTAAATAATGTTTGTTTAAATGAAATGACATACCTTATGAATTTAAGTATTCATTATTGAATTTCATCATCAGATTATGAAAAATTCATTGTATTCATCTTCTGTTATATAATCAAGTACATCAGTAAATTTGGTTTCATCTTCACAATCACTGTTAATCTGGTATATAAATAAATAATCATATTCCTTTCCATTTAGATTGTTGAATATATTCCATTTTTTGAATTATGTTGAGTTTAATTTCATTCCATGCTTTTATTATCCATTCGCACACTATTTCTGTACTGGCATGACACATTTGGCCTCCTTTTATAAATGTTTTTCAGCCTTCTAACATCTATGTATTCCACCATTGTCTTAAATTTTCTTTGAATGATTTATTGATACTCATCTAGACTGATGTAATGATGTTAATTCACCTGGAGTAACTGACATGTCTTTTGCACTCTTTCAACAATTTCTTCATATCATCTGTTAGACAGGATCTGAACATGTCCCAAACTAAAATACTTTCTGAATTTTTTAAGGCAACAGAACATTTTTGCCACACATTTCTTATTCACAATTTCATACTGTTTTCGCCCATCCACCTTTTCTTGTAAGCAGGAATGAAAGCACCATTTGGGAAATTACATTTTGGCTTTGTCTTTCTTTTAAAAATAATCATGCATTTTAATTTTATGGCTTCCGCTAAGATTTTTTCGTGATCTGTTGTTTTATGTGAACCAGTTTTGTTCCTTTTTGTCCCATCAGTGCTCATATCTAATATCACTAATGTTATTCTTGTTGATCTTTTTGTTTTATATGTTTTGGTTTTAATATTTTTAGGCCTCTGGTTATATAAAATATACCACATAATATCAAATTTTTATTTTCTGTCATATAAATTTTTATCAAACATTACTTGAGTTTCATCCGTGTTTCCAATATGTAACAGTAAATAATTTTTTTGCATTCGTAGGCAATAACATACTTCTGGAAATTTATCATATTTTGTCCAAATCTGTTGGGAGCCTTTGCAAAACATTTTTTTTTTCTCGTAGATCTAGATTATTCCATGTCATAAATCAACCACACCAACTCAAAGTTGCCTTAAAGTTTTCATTTTCTTCCCCCCTCTCATTTTATGGCAAATAAACATATACTGTTTCTTTTTGCAATTAATCCATTCTGGCAATTTTCTAGGACGTAGTTCGCAGCACTTTCCTCATTTTGTTACTTCTTTATGCCAGCACATTAATTCTTTAGCATATTAATTTTAATGATTCATTTTTCTTCGACTTGTGAATGGAGCTTTCACCAGCACCAAACATCTTTCCTGCAGCACAGTTTCCATTTTCTTTCACAAACTGAATGACTTTACATTTGAAACCAGCACTGTGGTTAACTTGGCAGGAGAAGGTTTGAAATGTTTCCTCGAAAGCTTGGAAAAAATCTTCAAATGAATGGTTTCAAAAGATAAGAACATTGTACATGCATCTTTCAGGTTTCTTCATTAAAGAAAGGGTGGACATTATATGGCAAATACACCTAAAGATTTAAAATTTAGTTTAAAATTATAAGTGCACATTATATGCTGGAATAGACAGTAAATAAATCAACAAGACTTTGATATATTTGTATGCAACTCCAAGACATATTGATCTCTACAACAAACAAGTTTAGTCTGTTTACATGCATGTAGAAAAGTACCGCAAATTGAAATAAATTTGGGAAGTTTATTTATTGATAGTAAGGTTTTTCATGGTTGTATTATCTGTTTAAGAAAATGTTAAAATATCTCACTTTTATTTTTGTTTACATATATTGCATTGTAGGTTTAAATATTACATGCAATAGCTGTAGTTTCATTGTGAATGTGTTCTTGGACCACGTTAATATAGGTAGATTAAAGGTCCTATGTATAGTGAAACCTCTTATAGCAGCCACATCCTGAAGTAGACCACCTTTCAAAGTAACTAATATTTCTGAGAAATTAAACCATTAATATTCTGATGCTGTTTGAGGCTGTTGTCTTCACAAAAAAGCAAATTCATCTAGATAGGGGTGATCATGTTATGGAGGTTCCATTTCCATTATATTAATTTTTTTAACTGTGCCAGTTTCAGTATTGAGAAAACAGTGACTGATGTAATTTTAATCAATTTTGTGTTTAATATTAGGGAAAGGATAATATTGTTGATATGATTTTAAAATAAATAAGGAGTTATATAGCTAAGATATCATTTTAATCTAGAAATATATTGTAAATTATTAAAAATTTTTCATTTCAGGCTGGATTTACCCCTCTTCATCTTGCAGCTCAAGAAGGACATACAGACATGACTGCTCTTCTAATAGAACATCATGCCGATGTTAATGCTGCTGCTAAGGTTAATCATTTAAGTCAAATACCCCTTTCTTAATTTAATTATATAAAAGTAACATATTAATATTGTTAAATATTTTCAGAATGGTCTATCTCCATTGCATTTGTGTGCCCAGGAAGATAAGGTGAATGTGGCAGCTATTCTTGTAAAGAATGGTGCAAAGATAGATCCACCCACAAAAGCTGGATACACACCACTTCATGTAGCATGTCACTTTGGCCAGATTAATATGATCAGATTTTTACTGCAACATAAAGCAGATGTGCATGCTACTACTTCTGTAAGTAAAATCAGTTTTCTTTCTTTATTTATTATGGACAGGTAAATATATGTTGGGCAGTAAGTTTCAGTTGGATGTTTTCATATAAAATTTTTAATAGCATGCACACACACACACACATACATATATATAAATATATATATATGCACACATTTTGTGCATTAATATTTTCATTTTGTTGATGGATATCTATTTTAATACAAGTAGAGATATAAATTTATCTAAATGCATTTTTCATCTGAAATGGCAGAAATGTAAATCTTGTACGTGAAGGTCATTTTTAAAGAAAGAAAAATCTTGTTATAACATATAAAAATTATTGCGAAAGTTTTATTTCTGATGAGAATTAACTTCTTAAATTTTTACTATGTGTGATTTCTGTTGACATTCAAGCATTTGTATGGAAGATGAGTCTGATGATTTCATTTATTGATGAAATCTATTGGTAATCTATTAATTCACTTGATGGACTCAGTTTTATGGATCCTATAGTCCTTTCCCAATATTCCATTAGGATCATTTGATCTTTTTCTGATTGCACAACACATCTTAGTTCTCTTTAATGCATATTTCCCAACTACTTCAGTAAACAGATAATAAATTTTGGAGGGGTGAGTTTACTGTTAAAAAACTCACACTCACTTTACAGATGATTTAATTATAATAAATATACTTCTCTAAATATTGTTGGATTATTTTCTAATGTAATGAGAAATTCTGAATGGATACTTGGCATTCTGAAAAGTCTAGAAAAGCTCTGAGTCTTCTGCTAATTTGGAGCAGTTTGTGCAAATAATATAGTTTGATCTATTATATGATTATAACAAAGTATGTGAGAACTATCAGGTTGAAACCAACCTGGTGTGTGCCGGTTTGAACTCGAATCATGTAATTAATTAAAAGTCAGAATGACAATGCTGAAAAGAACATTAATTCAGCATTGAGATCATGAACATTTTACAGGAGGATGGTGTATTTGACGACTTATCAAAGAAACTGGACATTTAGTTATATAATAAAAATCATGAAAATCCCATACAGTTTGCTAGTTCTATCATTGGGAACTGAAATCAGAAACGATCTACAGTACAGAGTCCGAAATCTAGACTTGTCAAAACTCGGTGCTTCCACATTTGGGAATTTTGCCAATTTTAGATCAGTTTAAATTAAGTAATATGACATGTAGAAATTATAAAAATAAAATTAATCAGTAGTAATTTATGAAATAAGGAAGCATTTATGAGCTGAAGTGAATAAAAAAAAACTCAATATCTAATTGTTTGAATTATTAAACATTTCTTTCAGTGTTACTTCAATTTTTGTGTTAAAATTTTCTCTCGTTAATAGGTGGAAATAAATTCTTGTTCATTTATAAAGTGCCACTATTCAAGTCCTCTAATTGCTGCGTTGAGAACTCCCACGGAATCGTCAGTCGAAGTTTTTTTCAATCTGAACTTCTTTATTGCTTTCTTCCCTATTGGTCCAATATTTCCTGGATTTAAGACCATGTTACAGATTTCTTTTTCCATTAGTTGATTATTGGGGAATTGTCATGGGGGGGGGGGAGACTCACACCTGTTATTACCATTTCTCCACATTTCTTTTCAAGTTTCATCAATTGAAAAATTTTCTATTTTTTGGCCATGCCTGAAAACCTTAAGATTTGCAGCTATCATCCTAAAGCTTAGTTACCATCTGCCCTACACTGCTGCCAATGTATTATGAGATTGGCTACTTAAAGATGTTATTTTAATAAATTTTATTTTGCTTCTCATGCATGTTGAGGAAGTTAAGCTTGAATTATATTTAGTTGTGTGCTACACTTGCATCCATTTCCTGAAAATGCTGAAGTCTTATCCAAGTTCCTAAATACTAAATAAATACCCGGATGTACTTAAGACTTATCCAGGGTCTTTACAAGATATTTTGCTATCTGGTGCGATCTCTGTTGGTCCTAAATTCTAAAATTAATTTCACTAGCCATAAATTTTTTATTTTAGTGCCTTTCCTAAATATTAAAGATTTTACCATCCTTTAAATTTGCTGCCTTATGGTTCTCCAAGTTTTAAAAATTTCATCTCTCCATGCTGCCATACAATTGCTGGGCTTATCTGAATTACAAATCGGTTGTTATTAATTCAGACAGTAATAAATGTAATCTTTTGGCCTGTACGTATCATTTTGAAAATATATTTTTTGCACATAGAAATAAATTTTTATTAAATTTTTCCTCGTCAACACACTTAACATTTCACAGCTGAACTATCTGTAGTCCTCACCAAGCCTAATGTTACCATAAAAGAATAGCATACTATTTTTAATTACTAACATTAAAAAAAAATTTTTTTTTAGGCATTTCTCAAGCTGCCTTTTATTGAAAGTCTTGGTGATGAAAGCAAAAAATAAAGTATTTGCCAGGTTGAGTCAGGGATATAATTTCAGCAAGTTAAAATCAGTAATGTTTTGATATAAAATGTTTTGATTTGACATGTATGACAAGCGGAAAGGCTGGCCAAATTATTGATTACATAGATTTATGTTAATAAATGAACCATGAAGGTGTTTTATTTAGTGAAATGAAATTAATCTGTTTAAAAAAAGAATTAAAAATTATAGACATGTTTTATTATGAAAATATATCAAATGGTGCATGCATTAAGCATAGGAGGGAAAATATTTTTAAAAAAATTGCCAGTAGTCAGAAGGGGTCCAGATTTTGGATCATTCCAGATATTGGGCATCTAGATTTCAGACTTCGTACTCTATTAGTACTGCATGACCATTATTACATGACCATTACCACATGCTTGACCATTATTAGCTATGTATGGTAGAATGTGCAAATAAGTTTTTCTTTAGATATGGCACTCGATTCTAAAAGTACCTTTTTGAAATGAATTTTATTTATAAATTTGTGTTATTAGTTTGAGATCCTGTATATTACATATTATTTTCTTTGTGCAATTTTCTAAATTTTAAACTATTTTTGCAGCATGGATATACACCTTTACATCAAGCAGCACAGCAAGGTCACACTCTTATTATTAATCTTTTGTTAGAACATAAAGCTTCTCCAAACACTACCACCAATGTAAGAATTGTTTCATTTTGATTAATTTCAGTATAAGCATATTATTAATTTACAGATATTTTGTATATTCTATTGTCTCTTGCAATTTGTTAACAGTGTTGATTTAGTTTTGCTTTTGATTAGTTTTATTTTTGCATATTTAAATTTGATATATTAAAACTTGTTTATATTTTAAAAGCTTATTGATTATTGTGGTGTTCCAATTACATTTTTTTAAAGAACTTATATTGTTCACTTTCACTTTTTAAATAAATGACTTTCTTTTCTTCTTGTTTAGCAAGGGCAAACTGCTCTCTCAATTGCTCAGAGGTTAGGCTACATTTCTGTAGTTGAAACACTGAAAATTGTAACTGAAACAATAGTAACAACAACTACAACAACAATAACAGAAGAAAAATACAAAGTAGTTGCTCCCGAGACTATGCAGGAAACATTTATGAGTGATTCTGAGGATGAAGGGGGTGAGTAGTTATTTCAAACAGAGTATAACATTAGTTACAAATATTTAGATAATATCACTTTGAGATGTTTTATTTATTTATTTTAATATTTTTATTCAAACTCTTCATTTTAAAAATTAGAAACTTCACTTTAAGTAAAGTAAGTGGAAGTGGAAGTTTCTTAATGATATTCTGTGAAAATTGTAATTGAGACAATAACAAATATTCATAATATGAAAATTTTTGAATTAATTACGTTTGTAGTTCATTTGAACTTGGTTTATTAAAAAATACATTTAATAAATAAAATGTAAATATTTTCTCATTTTTTTTCAGTTACCAGTAACTTATAAACTTGTTAAATATAACAGTGAGGTTTTTTAATTTATTTTCTAAAAACTGTATGTAAATTATAAAAACATTAAGCGTTTAAAATGTTAGTTTTTAATTTTATCGAACAGAAGAGTTTGCTGTGGTATTTTAAACTGCAGTAAATACCTGCATTGCACTTTTAACTGTCATGAATATTAGGAATTACATGAGGGCTTGTTCACTTTTTCTGAAAAGGAAATTCCCTATTGAAAGAAAAATATGAAACCCGAACATTATGCATTTATTTTTCACATTTTTTTCTTTTTATGATAGGTATATATCTTTATAAAAAATTCAAATATTATATTCTGTGCTGTGGCCCTGCCTGCAAAGAAAGCTGAGTAAACTGTATAAATATTGGTGTTTAGTATAGTGAAATGTTTTGTGGTCATTTGATTTGATTTAGTCCAACTGGACATTTAATAAGTTGTATCCTGTATCCTTTTTGTTTTTGTGTGTTTGGTAGTTTGAAACTGCAGTTGCTTTTAAACATTCACCAAATTTTTATTTTATATAAGGAATAGTAGTATTAGATGCTTGTAAAGGAAGATCACTTTTGCCAGTTTTTGAATTTGAATATTTTGCTGCTTGACTGAAATATGAAGTTGCAAGTTATCAATAATCTTAAAATTTCTTGACTTTGAGAAGTTGCAAAATATATGCTTTTTGACATTTAGGCATGTAGGTTATGAAGAGCAAATGTCAGCTCATCTACTTGTTATTTCGATAAAGAGTTCTAACCTTTTTTAATAAAGTGAATATATATGGAAATTATGATTTTTTAGCCCAGTATTGCTCTATTTTTGTTGCAATAGTTTTGCTGAAAAGTTTTGAAATTATAAAAAATTAACAGAAATTAATTCCAAAAGACATTTGGCTGTAACATTAATATTAAAAATTTATGATTACTTTAATTGATTTAATACTGAAAAATTTTAAATCAAAATTTTCATTTTACATGATTTTTTTACTGCATTTGTATATAAAAAAGGAAATAATTTTTAACATTCTAATATTTAATACATACTTGCAAAATCATATTTAACAAATTAAATAACACAGTAATGTTCTGTACATTTAGAATTTGCAAAAATAAATTACATGTGAATCAAATAAGGAATGAAAAGTATCTTTTATGAGAAGTATAATTGAGTGGATTTATATTTTATAGCCTATGATAAACAGATGTTACAATGCATGTCAGTTTTTTTTTCCAAGTGTGTAATCACATGGCTTATCCGCGATAAGTGGCAGAGAAAGAAAATAAAATATTTAGTAATGTGAGAAGGAAAATATATAATCATTAATGCATATGACAATGCTGGAATAATTTATTTTATATTTTTGTATTACATAGGTAATATGAGTTTTTAAGAAGAATTAAAAGTGTACAGATTGTAGTTTGTTAATTTAAGATGATAATAATTTTATGCAATTTATCACAACTATTTTGAGACTGGTTGATGTATAAACATAACAGTTTGGGATATAGTTCCTTTAAGACACAGGAACTGCTGTTGTTTGGTATTGTTTATCTAGTTATATCATCATTATTGCATATTAAAAAATAGTTCCATTTGGAGAATGTTCTTGGAAATGGTTTGTGGGGAAGTTTGCTGAGTGGTGAAGTTGACAGATGGCACAGTCGGTGAAAGTTGTTGTTTATTGCTACTCACCTAGTGCAAGACCTGTTTCTGGGTCTTTTTGGTACCACTACATGGCTTTTGTACTGTTAAGCTGAAAGCGTGTTTCATGTTGAAAGGCAGACAAAATGCCTGATTAGACCAGAGCAGAGTCACTGGCGTTAAGACCTAATGCTAAGGAAACTGTAGGGTTTACATAAATATAAGTGGCACTATTTAACACCTTGATAATTATTTATTCCCAAGGTAATGGAATATTAGGAATTTGATCACAGTTTAATCCCATGCGAATTGACTGGCTGCAGTTATGCATCTTTATAACCAAATCATGCTTCACCAGTGGCTGGATAATTAAATCTGTTGAATATTGGAAGGCCAACTCAGACTCGTATACAGATGTATGGGCTGGCCGCATGGCTGGTTTTTGTGATTTTCTGCATGTGTAACATGAATACAAGCTAATTTCCATTAGAAAGTCCTCCATGAAGGCATCCATCTTATACAAATAGTGCATGTGCTTTGTCATTTTCTCTGACCATATGTGCTTTGTCATCTAATATGAATATAAAATGTAAAGTGTGGTTGGTATTGTATTTCAGTATGCAGTTAATCAGATGTTTAGATTCTAAAACATTGTGAACTTGACTATAAGATTCTGTACTCTCTTTGAAAGTGGGCTTTTTTTGTGATAGTATTATGAGCTTTCAATTTGATGGAAAGATATTATTAGAAAATTGCACAGATAATGAATTTCTGCCATTTCAAAAATTAGTTGGATCGTTAGTACTGTGCTGAAAACTAATTGTTGATTATGGCAACTATACTTATTGGTGTTCTACCAAAGGCTGCCTATATCATGTTGAAGAACTGCATTCATTAATCTGTTGTTAACTCTGTGAACTGTTATTTCCTAGAAAATTGTTACGCAACAGTATCATCATTCCTTCTATTTGAAAAATTAATTGCTAAATTATTTGCATTGAGTTGGCTAAAGAGAGCTGCTGAAATTAGTTGGTGAATTCTTCGTTTTGCTTTGAAGGCCTTTTTATATTATGCAAAGTAATTGCATTCATTAAGCTGTTTTGTAACACTTTTCTTCCTTTCTCCCTCTTTTTGGTATATGTTTATAAACACTTGCAAGAAATGGGCTTTTTTGTAATAAACACACAGATTGTAGGACAGTCTTGAAAGGCAGAAAATATAAGAAAAACATAACATATTACTTCCACTGCAGTAAACATATTAATACTTCTTAATTGCTGAAGCCTGCCCTCAATAAAAAAGTGCTTGCTTTTGTTTTTGATATAACATAATAATGTTTGCATTATTGTATTTTTAGAGTTTTAATAAGTATGATTTATTTTTACACAAAATTTTGCATGCAATTTAATATTCATATATGCAGTTTTTGTGAATGTATGAATTAATTTGTTTTGCACTGATAATCTTCCCTTACCATTCTTATTTGCATTAAATATGTATTAGTTCTATTTTTTGGATGTATTGAGAAATTTGAATCTATAAATATACGTTTTTGGTTAAGGTTCTGGTATGGGACTGCTTGGTTTTATTTGGGGTTATTGCATGCATGTTAACATCTCCTCTCACTAAGTTTTCATTATGTGCATTCTTAGGTAATGATATAATTTAGTGAAAACTTGCTGATAATGTGTGTAATAAATGATTGAAAGCCAAGTATTGTTTTTATATTCAGCAATGTACCTCTTTGTTATTGCTTCAACAGTATAGTGGTTAATGACAGAAACTGTTGCACCAGAGAACCCAAGTTCGAATCTCAGAGAAAGCATGGATGTTTGTAAGTGTATAATGTCTGTGTGGTAAGGGGGTACTCAAAATGTATGCAAACTGAAATCTCTTATGCGATTGGTGAAAAGAGAAGAGGGGTGAAAAATCTCCAGATTGTAACTCCGGGTGTTCTCCTTCAGAATTCTTTCTGAACTGGCATGCTAAGCAGTTAGCAAGGCCTGCAATACCTAATATGCCTACTTGGATACACAGGTACCAGCCTTGCTTCAAACTTGTTTCTGTACATCCTAGTTGGGTTAACTGTCGAACTTTTGAACCAAGACTTTCTCAATTCCTTTAGAGAAACAACTGTTTAATGGATATTTAATATATGTGTTGCTGTAAATTACAGTTACATAAGATATCTCTTCAAGTAGCTACACCAGATGAGAAGGATGAAATTTATACTTATTGAAATAGCAGCTTGGAGAAAAGCTCATGTTTTGAAAATATACTGCTCAAGGAAAAAACAGAGATAATGAAAATTTTCTATGAAAGTTTGAGGAATATCAGTTTGATAGTATCACTTACTGTCAAACTTCAAAGCAGTAATCATTGATATAATTGCACAATTCTGAAATGGCTCATTCTACTAACTCTTTGAATTGATTGATTCCCATGACTCACTTACAGCCAAATATATAAGGTTTGCCCAGCACTTTTGGAAGTTTGTGAAATATGTTCGCATTTGACTTCAAAAATATATTTTTGGAAACTTTCAAAGTATTGCCAGGTTGAAAGGAATTAGCTAAATTTCATCAACTATGTGATAAAAAATATTACCAATGTTCATAACAAGAGTTTCTACTTATCTATCCTATCTTCCAACTGAACTATTTTTGTAATTTATCTGCTGAAAGTTTAAATTTACTGGATATGCAACATAACATACAAATAAATGCTGGCAAATACAGCACATGGCCATAAATTCAATTAAACTAAAATACACAATAAAACTATTACATAAAATACACTAAATAAGCAAAAAACAAGAACAATACATAGCTGTGTAAAAATACAATAACCGAAGTACAATGAAATAAACACAAATATTAATGATTATATTGTCTAGTTAATGCTGCTTGTGATAGACATAATTTAAGAATGCTCTTGTAAGTTTACACCTAAATTTTTATTGGTGTTAGAAATTTTGTTAAATTTTTCTGCTTAAGAATTAAAAGCTGATAATGACAGATGTCAGATTTAATCTGTCTTGCTAATGACAGATGTCAGATTTAACAACTAGAAATAATTATTCTTTCTTCTCTCTTATTCTCCAAGCTTTGGGATACTTACCAATAGCCAAGTGCCCAAATACACAAAACACTACTAGTTCTCTTTGCATTAGTTTCTCACAGCAGAATGGGCCTCTCTAATTTGCTGATTTTTGATATAAATATGGGCCACTATCCATTTGAAGGTCCTCGAAGAATAAGAAATCTTTTTTAATTAGACAATTTATTGTGTGATGTCATAATCAGTTAATTCATTCGGAGTTTCTGAAATCTTTAAACTGTCTGCAATATTACCCCTAATAATTTTATGAAATTTATCGAAATTGCACATAAAAATAAGATTATTAGAAATTCAGTAGAAGGCACAAATAAGTAAGAAAGGAAAGTCCTTGACTTTAAGCCAACCAGGTATCCTGAGTCATTGATCAAAGAGGAACCCATAATAAAACATAATGGAAACACAGTCTTTAGTTTTAAAAGCTAATCTTTTGAGCACTAGGCTTGTTGTCAGTATTGAACTTTATTAAAATCTTCAACTGTTCATACAAAAATCTGGGTTCAGGACTAACTCGAAACACTCTGCAGTCTTGGACAGCTTGGCACAGGAACTGCTTGTATTCCCACAGAAACTATAGGGTATAAGAAATATGATACACTTCTCGGAAAACATAGCTGCCAACAAAGGACATTACAACAAGGAGGCAAACACAGAGGGTGCTAACATATAGAGTGTAGATTGTCATGAAAGTTTGGGGCTACTTGCACTGCTTGCATTTATAAGTAGATCTGCATGACATAATTTTCAGCTTCCCAGCAAATAGAAATGAGTATAAATTTCCGAATTTATAGACTAATTAGCCAAAATTGGGTTATAAGAGCCACAATCAGGATACTACCCAAATCAAGCTTTTTAAGTTATATTTTTAGGGAACAAAGCTTGTTATAAAAAAATTCAGTGTAATGTTTCCTTAGTTTTTGTTTAATGTAACGTTTTGGCTCTTATCAAAATAATGAGCTTACTTTCAATTTTTGCTCTAATTTGAATGCATATAATTTTAAAATAGGTTAATAAATTGCTTGTAAAATAGAATAATTTTCTGAATAGATTGTTTCATGTTCTCTTTTGAAAGTTTGCAAAAACCTTTACAAATTTTTAAAGCTAAACCTTAATATTTTTGCAGGAAAAATGCTTTTTCTAATTTTTATCCATAATTACACCCTTATAAAGGGTTAATGAATCATTCAAGATCATGGAAATAAATTAACAGGACTAAGTAATGCAATATTATACTCAAGCATTTTCAGGTATATACCATGTCTGTAAAAGTCCTAATATGGCTTTTATTTTCAAACCTTTGGCTAAAGGTGCATACTTCAAATTACAAAACTATTTTAAATAATGTGAAGTACATTTTTTTGGCATTTTTCAGATTTGAAAAACTACAAAACTTCTATTTAATTAGAATTATTATCTAATATTTATACAGAAAAATCATTCTAATATTTATACAGAAAAATCATTAAAACTAAGAATGTTTTTCATGTTTGAGTTTATGCAAATAAGATTATAAATTTGGATGTATGTCAATACTAACGCCTGCTATGGTTTTCTTGAATGTGAACTTTATATAAGATTCTGAGAATAAGATCTGCATTTTGGAAAAAAATATAGTGATCCATACTTTCCCTGAGAATTTACACAGCAGTGCTCGTCACCAGAATTTTTTTTTTTTTAAATAGTATTTTATTTTTAGTTGCATATAGATGCAAATGTTTTGTTCTTTAATTTGCATATAACCCTTAAACATGATCTTAGGCTTTGAAAAATAAATGTCGATTTTTATTGCATGGGAGTCAATTTTTTTTAATGAGTATAAAATGTTTATTAAATGTAACTATAGAGATCTAAGACACATCTAAAAAAATAGTTTTTGTAAATTTTGCAAAATTAATTTTTAAAATTATGAGAAGCAATAAAATGAATGTTTCCCTTATTTAAGGCATTTTATAAGTATATGTCTATGACCAACAGTTGTAAAAATAAAGTCCATGTAAGGTAATTTTTGGTATATTCCTTACCATTTTCATTGCAATTATTGTAGTGAATTTTAACAAAGTTTTAGTATATTCTTAGTTTTCATTTATTAGTTTCAAGAGAGAGATGTTAATATACATGTGCTATGCTTCTTTGGTTGTGGTGCTTAACTAACAGCTTTAATTTTAAAAAAAAATCTGTAGTTTATAGGATAAAATCTTCAAACCATCTGTAGTGGTGTAGTTCAATTTGGGTGGCTGGGATTTTTAGTTCTTCAGCTGATGGTTTGATCCCTTGGAACAGGTGATGATATAGAAGACACGTCACTGTATGGGAAACCTGCCCATGCCACCCATGTGTATCTTCCTTATATCGAGGGTCAAAAGTTAATGAGTAAGTTGCCACAAAAATTGCCCCCTTCTAGTTTTCACTTATAATTCCTCTATTTTATGTTTCTTTTAAATTTCTATTTTTTGTCTATTCCTTTTAAATTTCTTTTACATGTCTTATAATATATTTTTGTAGATGTGTTATGTAATTTATTGTTGTGTGTATTGATTGTTTTTCCTCCAATATTTGTTTCTTGATAAAATTTTTACTTGCAATAATTTTGATACCTAAATCCCGCATGGTTTTTTTACTTCTTTTTATTTCCTCTAATGTATTAACTGTTTATTTTGATGTTGTATAATGCCTGTTTTTGTCCAGTGCTAGTAGTTCTTTCTTCTCTTTACGCACTTTCTGCTAGAAAGGGGTGACTAAAAGATGTAGTTAAAATGCTGCAGAATTTTTCAAATTTAAATCCATGGTCAGCTTGGGCAGCCTTTATTTTTATTTTTCTCTTTCTAAATATTTTCTGAGCTTGTAATCTCAAAGCATAGTAGAGCTACATACAAGGTCTGGAATTTCATTACTGGCTTACGAAGCACTTGATATGATCTGTACATGCCTTTGTTTCTTTCATCTGTTTAGAAGAAATGAGCTTTTTTTTCTTTCTCACTATTTATTCAAGAAATATGAACTTTGATGTGAAAACATTGATTTCCTTTGAATGTGATCTTTGTTCTTTTCAAAGTTCATATTATTAGCAGCCTTTTTATTTTTTTTAATTCACCAAGCCTTTAGTAACAAACTTAATGTATAATACTTATTAATTAGAATAAATAATTAATAATAAACAGAGTTGTAAATTAAATCTTCTATATTTGCTAATGAGAACATTTTAATAACTGTGAAAGTAGTCTTTATTTATTTATTTATTTTAAATCTAAAAACTAAACTGTGTAGAACAGATTTTGCAGTTTGACATGCTGGTTATGGCAAAGTGCATAGATTTTATAGAAATGTAAATTTTTATTAAAGAAAAAAAAAATTTGTTTACTTAATGATTTTTGTTTATTTTTGTAATTTTCATTTTACAAATGGAATTTTATTATTTTTGTGAATGTAAATTGTACTATATATATGGTTAGTTACTTATTATTAACTTACATATTGAGACTTGCATAATATTTTGTTTTTATGTGGTATATGTTCTACTATGTCTTCAGCTTCTTATTTTGCAAAATGCTTTTCTCTACATTATACCAATTTTCTTATGTATTTTATGTTGCATGATACCATATTTTGCTAATATTTCAGGCCTTTATTAATATAATTTCATTCAGTATTTTTCAAATTTTTTAAATACTTTAAAACTTATGTGTACATTATCTCTGTAAGAATGAGTTATAGAGTTCTGTTGGTATTATAGTATACACTAATATATTACCTTAAACCCAGTTAATTTATAATTAAAAATTTATGAATAAATTTTAATATTTTTATTTAAGGATTTAAAGCCTGAATACTTAAACCCGGTTAATTTATAATTAAAAATTTATGAATGAGTTTTAAAATTTTTATTTAAAGATTTAAAGACTGAAGTTAAATTTTTAATTTATACTTTTGTATGTGTATTGATTAAACAGTTATCTTGTTTTCCATAAGTGGTTTAACAAAGTTTTTTTATATTGGTTTTTATATGAAGTTTATAAAATCTGAGAAATTTTCTGATGAATTTTTAATCAGTTTTGTCTTTGTTTTCAATTGCTTATGTTTTGCTTTATATGTGGTCTATTTTATTTCTTTGTTATCTTTGTAAAAATTTCATTCAAGTTTTTATATGTTGCATGAAAGTATTTTAAATAATGTACAGAAATTTTTAATTTTTTTGCTGTTAAAGAGGCCGATTCTTTATAAACAAAAGCCTTGGTAAAGAAATGAGCAAATTTCAAATACCTTAGTATCACAGCCCTATGGCAACAGTAATCTGTTGATGTATTTATATGTAAAAAATAGAATGTCATATATTTTTATTTCCTTTCATAACAATTTTCTTTGAATAATGAATATGGTATTAAATTTAATGTTTCAACTAAGCTGAATATTTTTTAGCATGTACCTGATCTGTATTTGACACTTAGTGTTGCTGTCATTATTGCTATCTGTAAAAGTTAAAGGAAAGAAAAATTAATATTCTTTTGTTTATTAGAGTAGGATACGGCTAAATGTAAAAATAAATAATGTATATTCAAATCCAAAAGCAATAATATTTTAGTCATTATGAATGTGGTGTTTTTAAACATTTAGCTGAGGATACCATGCTTGGTGACCAGTCATTGCACTATATGACCACTGATGAATTGAAAGCTTTGGCAGATGATAATACTCTTGGGATTGATGTCACTCGTGATGAAAGAGGAACAGATTCAACCCTTATAGGTAATTGAATAGTTACATTAATTACAATAAAGGATACTGAGAGTAATTTAGTTCATAAATATTCCTCTAATATTGCGCAGCGCGCAATGAACTGGAAGTTGATCTGTCAGCACTATCCTTATCTTCAGGGCAGATGTTTTTATTTTATTCGGCTTATAATTCCTTACTAAATATAGTATTTCATCTCGATATACTCCGTCTTTGATATGATTTAAATCAAATTCCTCGTCATTATAAATATCACGAATACAAATGAAAATAGATTTCTGGTTGCAATTTTCTGATTTCGACTATGCGTAGTGTATGCTTTATGTATGAACGCGTTGAAAGAAATGTTTAATAAAGTAAACAAATAAATATTAAGCTTTTTTTTTGTAAATTTTGATACCCTTTAGATCATAATTGCTCTTTATTTCATAAATTACGGTTTCATATTTTTAATTTTATAATTTCTGCATTCCATCTTACCAGATTTAAACTGATGATCTATAATCCGGAATCACCGAAGTCCCGATGAGTCCAGATTAAAGACTTTTGACTGTACATGATTTGTATTTTAATCGCACTGTAATGCGTTGAAATGGCTATTCTCACTGTAAATCTTCATTTTCTAATACATTGAGGATATCGTACACAGTTAAGAAGTTCAGCAGGAAAAATTAGAATTAATAATTCTATTACTGTCCCATACAAAGCACTCAAAAACTATGACATTCTATAAAATTGTAATCATTTAAAATTTACACAGGTTAATCATTTAAAATAGGTAAATAGGTAATACATTTCTAGACATCAACTTTCTTTTTCTCTTTCTTTTTTTTTTAAATCATGACAATGTATAGTTTATTATGAATTTAAATGCAAGAGATCTATATAAAATTGTTTGAAAAATATTTTTTTCCATAATAATAGGATGGGAAAGGGCATCCTGTAAAATTATAGTTTAAAAACTCAAGAAAATTATTTTTGTTCATTAAAGCGGTGCATAGGATGGATTTTTTTATTATTATGATTAAAATGTATAATTGACTAATTTCTTTCACTCATCAAATGATATAGAAGAACTATTATTGTAAATTGTTCAGTGTAATAATTTTAACTCTAGTGTATTTTATGAAGAATAATAAATTCCTGCTATCATGAAAGTATGATTCATTAATGAATAATTTTTTTATTTGTTATATATTTCAGCACCTTTGACTGCTGAAGAGGATCATTTAACTCCTCAACATGTTGTTCACCAAGAAACTACTCTCAGTAGCACTATGGCAACTGATAATGTTGATTTAGGACGTGCACCAGTGCATGCTGGGTAAGAAGTCATACTAGTGATTTATTTGTGCATTGCAAATGCTTTTTTTTTTTTTTTGTTTCATTAAGCTTACCTATTTATTTTTTATTTGTAGTTGTATGACATATTAACCCTAAAATTAGGTTTATGAGATATCCTAAATTTTCTTTACTTTTCATTACTTAAAACAATTATAAGCATATCTGTTATACTACAATCTGTGTATTTTTTCGTCTGTGACAGTTCAGACAGTATCGTAAATATAAATACAAATATATGTTTATGCATGTAACAGATCATTCCCTGTGTCCAGTAACATTCTAATTAAGAATGTTTTTTAATTTGTGTAATGTGGAAACATTTGTGCTAACTGTTTATTTAACCTAGATTGCAGGTTTCTGAATTTATTCAAATTACTTCTGAATTTATGATTTTAACTTTCTTATGGATTAAACATTAATTATAAAAGAAGATTACACATCTTGTTTAACATTATATTGTATTGGATATTCTTTTGCTCCCATATTGTGTAGATTTGCTGTTCTGTACCTGCTTACTAAATCCTTAAAGCTCAATGATTACCATTCTCAGAAATGATTGTGCAGAATTTTATAATCATAAGAGATATAAATCTTGTTTAATAATAAAAAATATTAATGAATAATTATTGTTCTGTATTATAAAGCATGCCTTAACTATGCTATTATGATTATTTAATTAATTTTTCATACTCATATAAATTGCTAGTATTTATAATTAGGTGTTGTAATGAAAGTTAATTATAATTTAATTAAATGAAAGTTAAATTTTTATTGTTATGTTAGTTTTTCTACTTTTCTTCTGTCTTTTGCTTGGACGCGTGATTCATGTTGCCTCTAAAAGTAGTTTTGAAAACTGTTTTCATTATTGTATATGTTTATTCTGCATGTGAATTTGATTTGACATTTTTGCTGTCATGTTTTTGCATGTGAAAACCAATCCAAATTCCTGTTTAAAGTGCATGTGTTTAAATGTGAAAGTCTTGTTTTTTTGTGGCCTAAGATTTCCCTTGTATAATCGTCAACCACTTGTCCTAATAACTTCTGCTTTTCCCTTTTTTCTGCGCTGCATTTGGATCATATAGCAAGCTGAAATGGAAGACGTAAGTGCTTATATTTATTGTTGATTGGTAGTTTGTAGAAAACAACTGTGTTTGAGTTAAAACTGATGTAGATTTTCAAAATTTTTAAATATTTTTTTAACTTGTAATTAAAGTTTTGATTCTTCTAATACTCTGAGTAGTATAAGCTTTAAAAGACATTTGCTTACGTGAGTGTGACTATCTTCTTATCCAAAAAGTGGGCTGCTATATAATAACAGTGTATAAAAGGCTCATTAGAAAACATGCATCTCTTTTACACATTTCCAATAGTAAAAAAATACTTATTCTCTTAGATTTGTAATTACATAAACAATGTAGGGATGGATTGTTATATTAAATATTCATGCAGCATGCATGCCAGAAAAAGGAAGGGAATTCATTTCTGAAATTGAGTTGTAAATATATAAATGTGCAAGATAAAAAAATATGAAAACAAACTTCCGATTTTAATTGCGTGTAACCTCTTTTATTTTTTTTTTTAGCCGCTACGAAGCCAGCCTTCGTGTGGCTTTCAAATGTACCGGAAAGATGTCTAAATGCCAAACATTAAATTTAAAAACTTCACAGAGTTTTACTCTGCAGAACAACTTATTAAACATCCAGTATCCAAGAGAAATGTTAAATTTAAATTTAAAAACTGCACAGTTTTACTCTGCAGAACAACTTTATTAAACATCCAGTATCCAAGAGAAACTTTAAATTTAAAAACTGAACAGAATTATCTCCCTCATTTTTTCGAGTGGCAACAGTGCTGGCATCAGCAATAATGGCAACAGTGATATATCTGCAACAATGGCTGCATTCCATTGTTGCTGATATAATGAGAGAGAATTATTGATTTGGTGCAGTTTCATCAAAAAACATAAAATAATAATTTAAAAAAAAATCTGGTTCGAATTTTGAAAATTGCTTCGAGGTACTCTGGCTCTTTTCTAGATGCACCTATGTACCAAATTTTGTAGCTCTGTGTCTATTAGCTTATGCGCAGCACGATCAGTAAACACACAGACTGACTGACTCTTTCTTTTATATATATAGATTAAATTTGGAGACTTTCTCTATCTATCTTAGAAATAGTGCTATAAGTCTAAACTGCATCATTCTAATTAATCATGCGATCCTACGTAATGCTTAATGCAGATACATCTTGCCCAATCACTAAATAATTGTAAGCCAAAACTTTTTTAACTTGAACTGAAACTTTTTGACTCCCTCCCTTTCTCTGAATTGCTGTGACAATTTCACTTACTTTTCCTCCTGGCAAGTTGCTTTATGGCTACCTTCTTTGTTCACTGAATATGTGCTGAGCTAATAAAAATGTAGGATGCATAAGACACCCATTTGTATGTGAACCAGATATTGCGAATCCAGAATTGCTTTCCTCACTAATAAAATTATCTTTAATCTGGCCATGTCTGTTTTGCCAAGTTTTGTCACTAGGCATCTATTACGCCACCACCAAGTTCCAAGTCATTCATATCATGCCATATATATACGTGCTGAGAAGTAAGAATAATCATGATGGTTAAGCTATAAAGTATTAGTGAGTGGGATGAAATGAAATATTTAAAACAATCAGCTGAAATCAGTTATACATGTAATAATTTAAATTTTTATATGTGAGTAAATGTTAAATTAAACATAAAATATTTATAAAGTATTTATGGAAATATTTCTGTTGAGAGTGCTTCATGACTAGGTTTGAAAACCATGCAAGTTAGTACATGACATTTTATCAGTTTCTAACCAATGCATAATGTTTTAATTTTTTTTTAACTCCAAGACATTGTGAAATACACATTTTTTATTTATCTTGTGACTATACCGCAATGAAATTATATTCTGTTATGTTTTCAAATGAATAAACCTATATAGATCTAATAAAATAAAATTTCCTTTGATTCAAATTTTTGATATGAGTTACAGTAAAGAAACTATAGTTTTCAAATATTAATTTATTAAAGATAAATAAATTTTGTTTGACGAGATTTTCCTTTGCCAGATATATTAAATTGTTAATTTTTAATTTTGTAGTTAATCTTTTTAATTTTTCAATCCCCTCAAAGTCTCCTCTCTTGTAATTTTGTGCAAATGTCTTAAAATTACTATTAGTAAGCTCATTACAGGATGCTAGATTTCAGGAACTTGTTAATTTCTGTATGTTATAAAAATCGTGCAATCGTTGCAAAAATTTAATCATCATGTAGCAAAATGAGTATAACAGCTAATAGGTAATTGTTCTGGCCTGGAAAAAGTATTTATATGAAATTTGTTTTCTATCTCTTTGTTTTAATATAGCTGAGCCTCTGTTAATAGACAATTCATGCATCTTAAGATTCTCAAATTAAGATAATATTGCACATTGTAAGAAAATATTATATATATTCATTTATGGTAATAGACAAAAACCTTGGTCCTATGAGTGTCTTCTAATGAGAAGTTCTGTTGTATTAATTTTAGTGTATTGGAAGTAATTTTTGGTGTCGAATACTGTTTTTGATAATGATGTTTTTATTACAGTATGATTACATAGTTTTATATATTTCATATTATGCACCTGATAATTCTGAATTTGCAGATTCTTGGTGAGCTTTATGGTTGATGCAAGAGGAGGGGCAATGAGAGGTTGTCGCCATTCTGGTGTAAGAGTCATCATTCCACCCCGTAAAGCTCCAATGCCAATGAGAATTACATGTAGATATTTAAGGAAAGAAAAACTTGCCTATCCTCCACCTTTGATGGAGGGTGAAGCTTGTGCATCTCGCATTCTTGAAGTTGGTCCATCTGGTGCTAAATTTTTAGGGTAATTATTTTTTTGTACTTTAATTTAAACTTACTCAAATGTTTCATTCTTTACCAGCAATCTGTATATCTGTATATATATATATATATAATTAATTAATTAATCAGAAGATTGTATGTTACATGCTTATTAATTTATTGGTTGCTGAAGAAGTTTTTTTATATCATCCTGACACTGTTTTGAGCTAGCTTTATATCATCATAAAATAAAATTTCCTTTGATTCAAATTTTTGATATGAATTACAGTAAAGAAACTATAGTTTTCAAATATTAATTTATTAAAGATAAATAAATTTTGTAGTGTTTGCAGCCTTTTCCTAATGTTTAGCTTCACTTCACAAATTGTTTGAAGATGGGAACATAATTTTCAAATTATTTGACTTTTAAATTTTAAACTAAGGAAATGAAAGGAGCTCAGAATATGCATATTACTTTTCTTTAAGCTTTTGTGGATGGGAAAGGAATTTGCTTAATTTAACTGTATAGAGTCCACCTTGTCTAGTTAAGGAATCCTGTTTAATGGAATTAATGCAGAAGGTCTCCCATTTCTGGTTAAGATGCAGAGTGGACAGTTCATACTGATTTGAATCAGAAAATACAGGATAATCTAGATCCGGACAAGTAAACCTTGAATATCGCCTCACAGCTAACAACTCTCAACATCAAGTTGTTAACTGTATATTGAAAGGTGCAATAAATGACCATTTTCCCTTAAAAAATGCTGTCAGTGTGACTTTTTTTTTCCCCTTCCAAAAAGTGAAACAAATGGCTTTTCTCAGCAATCAAGCATGAGGAAACATTCAATTCAACAGGATATGGCTCAGGTGACTAATCATTTCTCTCACTGTCTCATCTCTGAGAATATTAGTGTTGTCTAGTGTGCCAGCTGGCATGGCAGTAAGGGAGTTAGCTACCATAGTCTTGGTCCCAGCTTTGAATACTGAAGAAAACATTGATGTCTGTAAGTGTTCAATATCTTTGCAGCATGGGCCACTTTTCAGCACTTAAAATACTGTCAAGCCAGAGTCATTTTGAGAAACTGATACATCAAAACTGGGATAGACTAAATCTATTAGTGGGGCTCAACATTTGACATGCTGAAAACCTCAGTTGACTGGCCACCCTGTAGATGTAAACGTATGCTTTGTGATGGGTCTCATAGGCTACTTATAGACCAGTATTGCAAAGGAGAGAGACAATTTATGAAAATTAAACATAAATGCACTGGTATAGGACTTGGTAGACAACTTTTCCTAACTTTATTGTCATCTGGGATAGCATGTATTGAAGACTACACACTTCCTTCATGCCCAGGTTGAAGAAATATTATAGTTTAAGACAACTTAAAAATGAACCTATGATGCCTTATGAATGGATCTTTGGGTGGGCATAAAAGTGTTATAATCTGTGATTTCCAATTTTTGGGCTTAATATTATGATCCATGATGTCCAAATTTTTATTAATTTTATTCATTGATGATGATGCTTCAAATTAGATTTTATCATGGTATATACAGTTTATAACTCCAAATCTGATATCTTCCAAGTCTTATTTAATGAAAATCTTCTTGCTGATGTAAAATGTTGAGAAAAAAAGAAAATGTTTGGCTACTTTAGGCACCACTTAGTTTGTGATTATATTTGTCCATGACTGTTTTTATAACATTAACCTAATAATAACTTTAAGCCTTTAAAAAATATCCTACAAAATATCGATGAAATTTAACTAATGCAATTCAATTAGAAACCCTATAAATACTTAACTTTTGCATGATTTTAATCAGGAATAAAAGTCATTAATACTTTCTGTTATCTATCTGGAAACATTATACGAAAGTAAACGATTTGTTAAGGAAAATAAAAGCCATATAAGGATGGAGCAATAATAAAAGAAACAGTGTTAGAATTTGCAGAAGTACTTTTTGCAGATTTTTAAAAATAAAAAAGAAATTTGTTTCGGCCATAAATGCCATGCATTTCTCAGCTAAAACTCTCACAATGAAAATTGAAACAACCGCAAGCAACTTAGAAACCTGACTGATAAAAGATGCGAACAAATGGGCATTTTTCCCCTTGCAACTGGACAAACTGAAAGAAACATAAAGCACATAAAGCTTAGAAACATAAGCACAATTGGCAGTGAGTGTCAAGATGATCTTTAATGAATTTACCATAAAAGAAGTGTTTCTAAAAATCTGACCGCTTAAAGAGCGCACGTGAGAAAAGGATTTATTTTGTGCAATTAATGTCTTTGATGCTAGAATGCCGATTCAGAAATTATCTTCAGTAACAAATGAGAGTGCGCAAACCATGACAGGAAAGAATATAGGATTCATTGCTATATGCCAACAAGATCCTTTTCAATGAAATTTATTGCGCATCACTCCATTATACACCATGGTGTGCACAAATCATTGAATTTGAAGATGGAATTTCTGTTGTTACAAAAACAGTCAATTCAGTAATAAAGACAAGTGGAGTGCAACATAGGCTATTTAAACTGCTTTGGAAAATGATGAAGATACATAGTTTACCAATCTTTTTTTGTACACTGAGGTTTGTTGGCTGAACAAGGGAAACATGAGTGATTTATCAATTTGTTACCACAAATAAAAGAATTTTTAGCATCCCAAGGAAAAGACTACAAATAGCTGGAAGACAAAAACTGGTTAGCAAATTTGTCTCTTTTGACAGGTTTAACATTGAAACTTAGCTAAATTTGAAATTACAGGGCAGGAGTAGTCCTGTTGCTTATATGATAAGCACTATCAATAGCTTCAACTTAGTGTTGGAATTGTACTTAATGTCTTAAACATTAAGTACAATTCTAACTTTAATTAACAACTTAGTGTCTTATGTTTACAGCAATTTTTAAATATTTTCATTTTAACGGAAAATTATCGAAGTAGTAAGCTTGCCAAATGTTATGTTAAAATCTTACGAAACTAAGATATTTTGGAGCTTCATAAACAGAAATCAGTATCTTATTTTAAAGTAAGGTAAAGAGTAATTCTTATTGCTCAAGTATCTATAATTATGAGACGTTTTCGAATATGACTTATTTGAAGTTGTTATATTTGAATTATTCGTGGGTAAAGAAATGACATAGTCCAGGTTGAACAATCAAGTATATATTGGGAATATTTAGATTATGTGGAAACAAGCACCCATAGCAATGCACACCAGATAAGGATGAAACAACAACAACATTACTGTTGTCAACTAACATAAGGTAAATATTGGGACTGGCACATATATATTATTTTTTTAACATGCCCCCTTGCCAGTCACATTATGTGCAAGATATTTACATACTTCCATAAAAGAATTAATCACGCTGTGGTTTTACACATTTACAGAACAGTGTAGCTTCTTTTACATGCATAAATACTATTGACCTCTACTTATGAAATGTATCATTAAATGAACACATATTAAATTATACTAGGAAACACAATGTTTACATAGAAATAATTAAGAAAAATTTGTATCTAGGCTTCTTTCTAGAGTTTTAAGTCAAGTCTCTACACAGTTACAACCATAATGGTTTATGTTCAGTCATAAACTTCGATGGAGATAATTTTACGTGCAAATCCTGGCATAGTTCATGTCACGTAAAATTTTTTTTTGAAGTCTGCTCTTGGTTAGAAGATTAGCGAGATTGTCGCTGGATGGCACATGATCAAATACAATCACATTTTCATTCACCAGGTCTCAGAAAGTCAAATTTAATATTGATGTAATTACTTCTTTCAGAAGTAACATGGTTCTTGGTTAAGAAGATTGCTCCCTGGTTGTCGACTAGCACTTTTTGAGGTGAAGCAGCTAATTCGCTACAGATTTCCTTGATCAAATTTTTAATCCATAGAATTTCCTTGTCAGTGTGACACATCACCACATACTCTGCTTCTGTCGATGATAAAGCTATTGTGGATTGCTTCTTGCACAACCATGAGATTGGAGCACCTGCAAGTAGCATTATGTAGCCACTGTAAGATTTATGGTCAATTCTGTCACCTTCCCAGTCAGCATCTGAAATAAAAGAATTTTTAGCTGAGTAGACTTGAAGTGGCTCACCTGTCTTCTGGAATCTCAACTTTCTATGTCGCGTTCCCGTTAGGTATCTTAGAATGTGCTTCACACCTCTCCAGTGTTCTTCAGTGTGTTTTTCATTAAATTGGCTCATGTAGGTGGAAAAATAAGCCATGTCTGGGCGAGTACCATAGGTCAGATAAAGGAGACTTCCTACAGCTTGTCTGTAAGGGATTTCCTTGCTGTTTTCTTTGATTTCCTCCCACTGTTATTCATCTACCTTCTTATATTTTATGATGGGGTCCAGTGGCACATTTTGCTTCAGTCATTTTAAATGTTTCTAGGATTTCTGATACATAAACGATTTGATCTAGTGCGTATGATCCATTTTCTTCTTTACATATTTACATGGATAAGATCTGGCTTGCAGGACGTAGTTCCTTGACATTGAACCTTTTCTTGATGCTTTCCTAGAATTCATTTATCTCTGCCGTGTTTCCAAATATCATTAGGTCATCAACATAAACTCCCAATTATAATGTCCTCATGACAAAAGTAAATACAAGGGTCTGCCCGTGATCTTTTCTGTCCATACTGGATCAGGAAGTCATTCAAGCAAGTATTCCATGCACGTTCTGATTGTCAGAGTCCATAAATGCTTTTCTTCAGGTGGCAGACAAGATGTTCTTTCCCTTTCTCAATGCAGCCTTTTGGCTGTGCCATATATGTCCTCTTTTAGAATTTCATTAAGGTATGCAGCTGTCACATCTATTTGGTGAACCTGTAGGTTTTTCTCTGCACCTACGGCAAGCAGTAACCTTAAAGATTGAAGTTTGATGACTGGTGAAAAGGTGTCTTGAAAGTCCACTCCGGGTATTTACAAGTAGACTTTTGCCACCAATCTGGCTCTGAACTTTGCTCAGTTCCCGATCTCGTCTTTTTTTCTTACGAAACAACCATCTGGATGGTATTACCTTAGCTCCTGGTAGTTTCGTACTTAGTTCCCAGGTTTGAGCTTGAGTGAGGTTCTGAATTTCTTCCTCCATGGCTTTTAAATGCATGTCAGCTTCGGGTGATTTCAGGACATCTTTTAGAGTTACTGGGTCCTCTTCTTCAGATTGTTGTATCTGTTGGGCATCGTACAGATAAAAATCTTTGAAATGTTTATGAATTCTGCTATTTCTTTTTTTACCTCTCTCAGTCCCATGGGTAGGATTTCTGGCTGCTGCTTCAACTTCAGGGTCTAGGTTGTTAGCAACGTCTTATATCTGTGTAACTGATTGGCCTTCAACTTCATAATGTGGAGTATTTTCAAGCTGTAGGTCTAGACATCTTTCAGAATTTTGGTCAATCGGATCTGTATTTAGACGTTGGGTTTCATCCGAGTCATTTACATCAGGAGTTATGTGATCTAGAGATAAGTCACGAGCTTCTGTTTCAGGTAGGTCCAAGGGAAATTCTGATTTAAAGTCTTCAATTTTAAGAGTAATTTCTTCTGCAGGATTGTCACACTTAGCTTTAAGGGGAAAACATTTTCTTCAAAAATGACATCTCTGCTGACAAAAAAAAAGTCTTCTTCAGATCATACAATTTATAGCCCTTAACTCCTTTAGGATATCCCTCAAAAACACATTCTGTAGCTTTAGGATCAAGCTTGCTTTCCCTTGAGCGTGAGCAAACATGGCTCCAGGCTCTGCATCCGAAAACTCTGAGATGGTCTGTTTCGCTTCCAGACTCTAACCATCTTCCCTCTGGAATATCACCATCAGTTGCCATAAATGGGTGCCATGGTTGGGCATCTTGTTGTGGAGATAGGCTGCAGTGGCCATTGCTTCAGCCCAAAACCTGTGATCTGCTCCGGAGTCGATAAGTAAGCATCTTGTCGTGTTTATCAATGTTTGGTTCAGTCTTTTTGCCAAACCATTTTGTTGGTGTGCATTGTGTACAGTTAGTTGTCTTTGGATCCCATGCACAGCGAGGTACTTGTCAAACCTTTCACATTATATATTCCCCACCATTGTCATTTCTCAGGAATTTGATTTTTCTGTTTTGGAGATTTTCTACCATGCAATGGTACTCCTTAAATTTTTCTAGTACTTTTGGCTTTCATAGAGAATGCCGTGGCATAGTGAGAAAATTCATCCTTGAAAGTAACAAAGTAATTTGAGCCTCCAAAGAAAGGGGAAGAAATTTTACCAACAACATCTGAATGTGTAACTTCTAGGATGTCTTTAGCTTTTGTACTAGCGGCCCTTTTAAATTTCTTCCTTTTCATTTTCCCCTGGATGCAGACTTGGCAAGGTGCATTTTCTAATACTGTTGATTTCAGGTTTCTGCCAATAGGGATAATATTTTTTGTTGTACAAGAATGTGGATGACCAAGTCTACGATGCAGTAAGTCAGCACTTTCAGTTTTCGTAATGTAGGCAGTTGTCATCTTTACTTTGATTATGTACAGTCTTCCCTTTTCTCAATAGATAGAAGAGTGTCTCCATTCTTTGCACTTTGGCTTTTCCTTCAGCAAATTCTACTTTTAAGCCTCTTTCTTCAATTCTACCAATGGATAATAGATTTCCTCCTAGTTCTGGAACATATGGGACATTTTCAATAGTGATGTTTTTTTCTCCATCTTCTTCTCCAGCAGAAAATGAAATATTTCCAATTCCAGTGACCTTTATTCTTACTAAATTAGGAACTTCAACTTCAGATGTGTACTTCTTAAGGGGTGAGAATTTTTTTGGTCAGAGGTCATGTGTTCTGTAGCTCCACTGTCTAAAATCCACAGATTATTTTTCCTTGATTTTTTTTCGTTTGCCAGAAGTGCAATGTTTGTCTTGAGGTCAACTGAAGTTTTGGCACTGTTTTGGTTCTGATATTTGGCCTCTTCACAATTTTTAGAGATGTGCCCCCACTGGCCACAGCTGAAGCATAATTTAATATTTCTTCCTTAGTTTCTTCTTCATTTGGCCTTTTAGCTGCATATTTCTTCATGGGTTTTCCAAATGCAGTCTTCTTCTGGTTGGTGGCAAAACTTTTAGGGTGAAAAGCTTGTTCTTCATGATACACTTTGGCTGAACTCTCCTTTCTAACTATATGTTTCTCTTCTACGAGTAGCATTGGTTTCACCGTCTTTTCCCAAACTTAGGATGAGCGATTCATAGGGCAGTCCCAATAGCATCACTAGGGCCACTCTTCTATCTGTGAAGGCATATCCACCATTAGCTAATTTTCTATGTAAGTCCATTAATCTTGCTAGATAGGATTGGACAGACTCATTTGGCTTCATATTTATGTTAAAGAATTCTCTCATAAGTTGCAGTACGTGAAGCAAACCGAATTTTGTATGCATTTCATTTAAACAGTTCCAGGCGTCTCTGGCTCTAACACGATCTTCGATATCATCTAGAAATGTATCTTCAACTATGAGGAATAATAGGGTAAGAACTTCGTCATTCTTTTTCCTCTCCGCTTCATTCATTTCAATTCCATATACGGGTTACACTGCTTCCCAACATCTCTTCTGCACCAGCACGGCACGCGAATGGATACATCATGTGTGATAATTGTCACCATTTAGTTTCGGCATTTTATAATCTTCAGATGTTGTTCTTCAAGTAATACATCAAGCTAAATTCACTAGAAATTTGTTTTATTTACTTTCTCAAAGGAGGGTTATCCAGCTCACTTTAGGTTCACAATGTGGTTGGGTTTCAGCAATCCTGGATCATAATGGCATTTCCTTTTGAGCTTCGTGCTGATAACATGTTAAATTTGAATTATTCATGGGTAAAGAAATGACATAGTCCAGGTTGAACAATCAAGTATATATTGGGAATATTTAGGTTACATGGAAACAAGCAATCACAGCAATGCACACCAGATAAGGACGAAACAACAACAACAACACTACTGTTGCCAACTAACATAAGGTAAATATTGGGACTGGCACATATATATTATTATTTTTCTTAACAAAAGTATCATTCAAAACTTACTAATTTGCACTTAGATAATTGATTAAGTGTATACAACTCAAATTATATTGTCAATTATAATAAGTTAGCCAACAAATTACAAACCCAAATTTCACATTGACACATCAAACAAAATTAATTTAAAGAGCATAAATTATAAATATTTGTTTAGTTCAATAATGTTATATCTTTTAAACAAAACTAGTTTGCGGTATGATGTTTGATTATGAAACTTTGAATGGGTGGAGCCCACTAAAGATTTTAAAATTTTATAATGTGCTCTGGATGACAAAACGTTGCTGACTCCTAGTTTAAAGGACTTTTGCCAGAGCATTTTTACTAAACATTTTTAAAAACTAAGGCCTTATTTATATGGTCACTTGATCTTGACTTGTGCAGTGCTGTTCTTTTGGGATTTGCTTCAGAAAGTGGGTGGAAAGTATCTTTTTTAGTCATTATGTTGAAACTTCACTTTTTTTTTTTAAATCAATAGCCATGTAAGTGTTCTTCAATTCATCATGCTTCATGTTAGTTAGAGGCATTTTCAGTTCTTCAACTTCCTTCATTTCATCATTTATTTAAAAGCTGGTATGCTTAAACAGTTACTGTCTTTTCTGATTTTATCTGACTGACATTTCTAGGACTTAAATATTGCCTTAAATCAAAATCAAGATTTTTTGGCAACATATCTAGGCTATCTGACAACTTCTCTACTCTGTTCTGACTTGCTTCAGTTTGCTGACATTACTTTAGTTTAAAAAATATTTTAAATAGCATTAACCAACAAGTTGAATACAGTAAATAATGTAATATTCGATGTTTCTTTATGCAAATGGGCACCATTTTTGTAATTTGATAATGATATCTAAATGATCACATTAGGCGGTGCCTACTATATTGATATTTGTGAAGCTTTTATAAATTGTATTGCATTGTGAGCTCCAGATTCATGAAAGTACTGAAAGTAATGTGAAAATTCTTCCCATTCTTTCTGATTCTGTGTGTTTCTGGTTTCCGAATTTGTTAGAATTGCCATATTTTTGGCACTTATTCAAGTATACTCATGACAACAGCCATCTCACATTTGCATATAACATACATTTGTTTGAGTATACAAGGATTTACATGCTTTATCTGATATTTTGCTGAGTAGCATCCACTGGCTGTGAAAATGTAAACATCAGTCATATGGATTTTTGTTCTTATAAAATTTCTTGTTTCTTATAAAAGGATTATTTTTATTATTATTTATGAATGGAACCATACTTATGTGGCATAAAGATAGCCAGAAAATTTTTTTTCTCATTGTTCAAAGTTGCCAGTACTCATTGGCGACTTTTCATGGAGCTGTGGATAACCAGAAAGTACCATTCTTTTCTTATATCCTATTTTATATTACTGCTGCTGAGAAACTTTTGAATGTCTTTATTTATGACAAATTTTTGTGAATTTAAATATGTTTAATATTTTTATTAATAGCTCATAGTATGCTTCACAATATGGCCTAGATAAACTTATAGTATTTGGTTGTAATTTTAAAATCTTTGATTTATCAGCAATACAATAATAGTAAGAAACTTCAGGCTGTTTAGTTTGCTGTAATGTCATGAAATGTATTATTTCAAATTTTTTTTATCTTATTTAAAGTTAAACTTAATTCTAATCATTTAATGCTTAGGATCTTGTGTTTCTTTTATAAATCTTGTATTAAAAATATATATTCTCATTTACAGAAGTTTATTGCTTAATTTTTGATAACTTTGTATGGTTATGTATATGTTAATGTTGGTGAATAATTGTGACCTCTCCCAGTAAAATATCTCAATCTCTGAAATATAGGCCAGTTATAATAGAAGTACCACATTTCGCATCCCTTCGAGGACGAGAGCGAGAAATTACCATTTTGAGAAGTGACAATGGTGAATCCTGGCGCGAACATACTCTTGAGGCATCGGATGATGCTGTCCATGACGTTTTCAATGAAAGCTTTGAAGGCGAAGGTATTTTCTGTGCAAATTATTGAAATTTATTTAATCTGCTTTTAGATGATAAAAGGGTACAGAATATTTTCCTTGGAATAAAATTTCAAGCTTGAATTTTAACATACTTTTTGAAGAATAATATACAGTATATGAAAAGGAGTGTATTGAGGAAATTTGATTACATTATTTGGTATGTCTAGTATTTATTATTAACTGAGAAGAAATATAAGATTCTTCAGAAAAAAATCGAACTTTTCGATTATTGAAATAAAAGTATAAATTTTTTTAAGCTATTCTTTTTAAAATAAATGTTAATTTCTTTCAAAATAAATGGTAATTTTTTGGAGTTTTAATATGTTGTAATTTAGGGTTTAATTACAGTGAAGTGTTTTCTTCTGTTGATTATTTTTTCTTATCTCCAGAATACAAAAAGTGTATGTTTATATATATGTATATTATGGAGAGATATAAAATATATGTATAGAGATATAAATACATATATTATACATATAAATATATTTATATCCATATATTTATATGGAGAGATAAAAAATTGAATAACTATTAAAATTCAAACCATTATTTGAATAAGGTAAATTAGAAAAGTACAGTCTAAAATGGAATAGTTGACATTATAGTACTGTGCAGAATTGAAAGCTACAGTTATAAAGGTTTTGTCATGTACCAATCTTTCCTTTCTATGTAGTTAATGAAAAGTTTTTGAAAAAATGTTTTAAATGCTAAATATTTATTTAAAAAAATCAAAAACAAAATGAGCAAGTGAAAAACTCCATTTGCAGAGATTAGAGTCAACTTAATTGCAGAATAATTTTCATTTCAAAATTAAATATATAGTATTGTAAGATAAATAAATAATGTAAAGTACAACAATAGCCAGAAAATTTCAGAAGCTGAAAAAGATATTTTTAGAAGAAATAAAATATATTCCCATGTACTAGTCAAAATTGTGATGAAAGTATGAATTGTATAAACTATATATGCATTCAATGTAAGCTCTATGTAGAATGAACAGAAGAGTCTGCTTGAATATGACCTGTAATATATTTAACTAAAAATATACCTGATGTGGAAGATTTGTGAGAGAAAAATATTAAAACTGAAAATATGTATTCAAAAAATTAAGAAAGGAGTAAATTTGAACAGCATTGTCTTTTCCTCCCCAGTTTTTATCATATTGAGTTTTCATAGTGACTTTATATACAATTGCTAAATTGACTAGATTGTTTCTAAAAATTCAAATATTTGAGATTAACTTAAATTAATTATTTCAGAATTAATTCTTTTTTCCTGTGTAACGTATTAGTGCATTTATTTTTTTAATTATATTATTTTCCAGGTTTAGGAAAAATGCATGATTAAATCAGTTTTTGTTACGATTTAAATTAATAGGATAACAATTAATGAGAGATTTAGAACTTCCGTGTTTATCAGAAATAATACTAATAGTCAAAAAGAAGTCATACACAATGTGGGTCATTTCAATCCCTCTGTTATAGATGAGAGAGGATATAAAACATGTCAATACTAAATAATAAACATACCATTATAAACGGTTTTCATTAGTTCTTGTATTTTGTTCCATTATTTGATTTATGCTTAAATTTTGTTAATTTTCTTTATTCATAAAATTAATTGTTAATTACGAGAAGAATGGGAATGATTTTTGTTATAGAAAGACTTTCTGATATATTGAATTGATAAGTTTATGATGTTTTGAATCAGCTTGTATTGATTGCATTGAGCTTAAAATTAATCACACAGTGCATTTACTTAAGAATTCCTTCCCTTCATTGTTCACTGTCTATTTCCAATTGTCAAGCAGTTTTTCATTTCTATTTCTGTAAAATTCTAGTTGTTTGTATGCATCAGATTCGTCCAGGAAAGATTATGATTACGAATCATTATTTTCATTTGCTAATCATTGTTTACGAAGGATCTGCCAGGCAGTACATTTGATTGTGATCTGAACAGGTGATTATTTATGTTTGAGAAATATTCCCATGTTTGGGAAATATGCTACATTTTAAAAAACCTCCCAGTTAAGCTATTGAATAGCAAATTTAATTGTGTTTGCTGCATGTGAGGTGGCATTGTCCATATGAATGAAGATGTATAATTTGCCCTTTTCTTTTGAAATTCTGTTTATACAAAGTAGGATTTCTCACAGTAGCTAGCTGCACTAATAGTCCAATTACCTGGCATCAGTTCACTGTACATAGCACCTTACATATCTCAATGCAAAATCCAGAGTGTTGGACTTTGCTTAGGCCAAAATTTCAACCATGAAATTTCATTAAACCATTTTTAGACTACAGTACAAAGTCTTTAATCTGCACTTGTCGGGACTTCGGCGATTCTGGATTAATTTAAATCTGGTAAGATGGCATTCAGAAATTATACAATTAAAAATATGAAACCATAATTTATGAAATAAAGAGCAATTATGATCTGAAGGGTATCAAAATTTACAAAAAAAAAGCTTAATATTTATTTGTTTACTTTATTAAACATGTCTTTCAACATGCGCATGCATAAAGCATACATTACGCGTAGTCGAAATTAGAAAATTGCAACCAGAAAACTATTTGATGTGTATTCGTGATATTTATAAATGATGAGAAAATTGATTTACATCATGTCGCAGTACATAGAGATGAACACTACATTTAGTAAGGAATTATAAGCCAAATAAAATAAAAACATCTGCCCTGAGAATAGTGCTGACAGATGAACTTCTAGTTCATTGGGTGCTGCGACCCCCCCCTGCAGAGCAGTGTGAAATTGATAAACAGATTTCGTGAAATTGATAAACAGATTTCGGAATGGTTAGAGAAACAAATCACCTCTCTGTCACTTTCTTCATGAATTTATCCATTTTTGCAGCAATTCCACTTTTTGTTTAATGGACATCGAAACATGCTTTCACTTTGTAGATCCTTTGGCAGTTCCAGAATTGGAAACTCAACAAAAACAGAAAAAAACATAATAGAAAGTTCAAGCTTACTTTTTATAAAATTGCTCTAACAGTCTGCAAAAAATAACAAGCCAGATCCAATTAGAAGATTAAGGAATAACACAATCTGCAACATTAACTGAAATAGATAATTAGATAATTTTAGCCTAGCTTATACCGTCCATTATACATTAAATGCACATGCGTAAACGCATTATGTGTTTATGCATGCACAGAAAGTTTGTAGCTTTGATGTCCGGATGATAGATCATTCCGGATAATGGACGTCTGGATTAAAGACTTTATGCTGTATTAACAATATTATGGTCTCCATATGTAGCACAGATTTGCCTTGAAGCTTTGCTGCAGTGTGCTAAACCTTGGTCAGATTCATACAGAAAAACATTTCGAAGATGCTACTTCTTTTCAACTTGATACTTCAGACCTTGAAACAAAACCTAACTAACCGAAGCAAAAACCATTAATAGTAATAGGGATATGGGCTGTAATGGCTACAATTTAGCATATTAAACTACATTTTTTTCACAGAATATTTAAAAATATTCTGTGAAAAAAAATTATGAATTTATTTATCAGTCCAGTGTTTTAGGTAAAATTACTTTTAAGTAATGGGTTGCCCAGACAGTATAGTGGTTAGGGGAACCTGACTACGATACCAAAGGGTCCGGATTCAAATCCCGTAGAAGGCATGGATGTAAAATTGTCTGTCCTTTCATAAGAGGTAACGATGGCTGCCTTATAAATACCTCCACAATAAAATGGCCACCACATCTGGCCTTGGAAGTGGCCAATGTCATTATAGGCAAGTGCCCACCCTTGAGGTAAAAAAAACTTTTTAGTAGTAGAAAGAGGACAAAGACAACTTTTTATTAACATACCAAAATGCACATTTTAATCCTATTCATCTACTTGCCTAAAGAAGTAAGGCACATTTCCTCACTTATTTCAAACAAATTTTAAACAAATAGTAATTTAAAAAGTTTAAATCTTAGTTAAAAATGGCATATTATTTAATTACATAATTTTTATGCATTTATTAGATCACATATTTTTATTGTAAGTCTATTTTCTTTCTGGTAGATACATAATTCAATGTGTTTCTTTCAGAGCTAACTGCTATTGAAGACTTGAGTACAAATCGCATCACTCGCATTTTGACCACAGATTTTCCACAGTATTTTGCTATAATCACACGTATCAGGCAAGAGGTTCATGCGATAGGTCCAGAAGGGGGTATGGTCAGTTCCACAGTGGTTCCACAGGTCCAAGCCATTTTCCCTGAAGGTGCCTTGACGAAGAAGATCAAAGTTGGACTTCAGGTAAACAGCTGTCCTAAGGACAAAACTGATGCTGGCATTCATTCTTCTTCACCTAAATTGGGTAGGGCAATACTTTCACGACCGAATGCATTGCTTCCAAATCATCATGCTCCCCCTGAGAAAAAATCCTCTCTGAAACCACAGAGACCAAAATCTGGCTTTTTTGCTGAATTTGTTCGACGCACATGGCCCAAGCTAGAATTGTTCTCTTTTATGTGAAGTTGCAAGCGTAACATTCTAGAGACTTTAGCCATATGTGTAATTTGTGATAGCAGTATTGTAAATATTTAATTTATTACTTTTTATTGTTTCGTTATTATATTTGTTATTTTTTAGGTTATTTAATAATTCTTAATTTTGTTATTTATATTTTTATTTTTTAATTTAAAAAATTTAAATATTAAAGTAACAAATAATAAACAACAGGAATCATCATAATATGAGAATATTCCCAAGACTGTAGCTATGAAAATTAAATAAAATTACCTTTGTTGTGTGCAAGAGGGGAAGGGGTGAAATGATGAAAAAATGTGTCCTTGTAAGAATAACAGACAGAAAATTATGAGAATGTTTCAGCTAAATGATAGAAAACAAAACCTCTCTAGCATTCTCTATAGAGCAAAAAGTAAAAAGAAAGAAACAAATTCTTGAAAAGTTGCCAGTAACGAGAGATTAGAATTCTCACCAGAACTGACAGAATTTTATGAATATGAAACAACTGCAGAGAATATATGATATGCCAACTTTGAATAAGTTTGGTGATAGAGAAAAAGAAAATATAATTATTTGACTGCACTGGTGGGTGGTAGAGGATTTATGAATTTTTCCAACATAATTCCTTTTTAACTTCAGCTTTTCAAGAATTTGCTTATCAGTTGCTTTTCAGATACTTTTCAGTCAGTAATGGTGCCAGTAGATTTGTTCTCTGTAACTTAGTAGCAACATTTTTGATGTTCTTTGGTTAGGCACACTTCTACACCTCATGTAGGCAAATTTCTTTACTCTATCATTTTCACTCATTGCAACTGAAGATGATGATTCTATTTAGCTCTCAAAATTCTGCAAATTTACTCATGTTACAGTTCTTGTTGTTTATTATTTGTTATTTTATCATCTAGTTCTTCAGCACATTCTTATTGTTACATTTAGAAGATTTGTTATACTTGAATATTTATTAAGTTATTTTTTTCCATTTAAAAGTGGGTATCTGTAGAGTCTTATTAGATTAATTTCTTTTTTATTCAATTTACTATTATAAATATTTTTTATTACTCTTCATAACAGTTCTGAGTTTCCTTTTTCTGGAATTTGAGTTCTTTATTTTATAGGTAAATTCTGCAAACTGCACATTTCCTCTTCAAATATATTTTTACAGTTGCATTGTGAATTTTAAACTATTTAAATTTTCTTTTTATCTTTCTGTCTGTTTTTGTTTATTTTTAATTTGTTACTTGAACTTTTATAACCTTAGACTCCTAAAAATAATCTATTTGAAGTACTGAAAAAGGCAATATTTGTGAAAAGAAAGGAAGCATATATTTAGCTGTATTTCTGTTCTAGTCATTTTAAAATTTTTTAGCAGGTTTTTGTTGTTGCTACACTATTCCAATGCATTTATATGGAATATGAATTTTTTTATTTTGTAGAAAGGTTTTATACATGTTCGTGAAAAGAAAAGTGGAAAGTTATTTTTTTTCCTGCTCTTCTGATTGAATGGATTTCTAAATATGTAAAATAAGTTTTGGTGTCATTCTAGTGAGAAATGTTTATGTAAATTATTATAACTATGGAATTATTCATATTTTATTGAATCGAGATCTGAATATTTTGTGACAGTTGTGAAATTTTCATCATAAATGGGTTACTGCTTAACTTACTATATGTTATGGAAAATGTTGTGTTGAAATAATATTTTGTTTCTTCAGCCAGTTTGTTTTTTGCAAACTGCTCTTGGATGAAACACTAAAATTTGTAAATTTAATAGCAATTAAATTTGAAATATGTCTTTAAAGCATTCTTTCATCATGATGATTTTCTTAAAACATTTATAATTTCTACCTCCCTTGTTTGATGGTTTTTCTGAACCTATGACAAGTGCCTAACATCCAATACTCATTTTTTGTGTTTTTTTTTTTTTTTCCTTTCTCAAATTGTGAAATGCAACTTATGAATTTTCATAAGTTTTATATGGGTTTATATTAGGCTCAAATATGACATTAGAAATTTAGATGTAGTGTTTGGATTCTTGATATAGTACATATATCACAAAAAATCGTTAAGAAAGGAGTTTTAATTTAAGAGATAAGGAAAAAAATAGTTAGAAAAACTATTTCATTAAAAAAATTAAATCCTTGTGTAAATTTAAAACTTTTGATTTTTACACTTTATGTATACGGTTTTCATTTAAAAAAAAATATGTAAGTAATTGTGTTTAGTTGCCTGAAATATAAATGTGTAAGACGTTATCGCATCCAAACAAATAAATATTTTTAAAGAAAGAAATATATTATTTTGTCAGAAATTCAGAATGTACATTTTGCATATTTGATAGCTGGGACCAAACTTTCCTGTGTTTTAAGAAATTGAATTTTTCTGTGATTGCCTATGTTACTCATCTTTTAAATGAGTAAAGGGTATCCTAAGTGGTATGATCCCCTTTACAGATTAAATTATTTTGCTTTCTTTAATTCTTTAATAATGCAAATATCATGTTAATGAATGGAAATTTATAAAATCAGAGTCTATAATAATTATAAAACTTTAGCTAATAGAAGCTGTTTAAATACAGATCGTCACAGACCCATAAAACTGTGATGCTCAGAGGGTTAAATAAAACTTAAGTATTTAGATGAAAAAAATTCTTCAAAAGGTTCTATTAGTTGTATAAAAATTATATAATTTTATTTTATGAAAATTATGTATGCTAAAAAGTATGCATGTATGTGATTGTGTCTGGTAAATTATACTTTTATTAAATATTTTTCTGTTTACAAGAAGTTATTTACTAATTATTAAAGCTAAATTACTTGTGTTTTTTGTGATAATATAGTGATTAGCAGCATTTTAGGAATGCAAATAAAAGAAAAAAATCAGATATTAAGCTTTGACACTTCAGTTTTTAGTAGACATAATTAAAACCTGCAGATAATATACTTAATATTGTTTCGATCTTTCTTAACTTTATGTAAATGATTTGTAGTAATTAGACTTTGAATAATGTGTATAAAAATGTATCTTTGTAATTTTCTGCATATTGTACTTGTCTAATCTGCTTCTAATGTATCAGCATTCTTTCACTAACATCTGTCTATACTGAATACATTATTTTCTGTACTTAATATTTTAACAATAAAGATAACCAGACATTAAATTTGTGTATTCTGTCTTTTCTTACAGGCCAACTTACATTACTCACTCATCTTTGTGCACTAACAAATCCTTTTTAATAATTCATGCTTACATCTTTGCTTACTCCTTTTTTTCTCTAAACATTCATAGCTCATCTAAATCCATTGTGTAAGAATTTTTAGGAGTTTTAATGTACCATCTGAATAAATATGTGTGGACAAGATCTGATTTTGAGTAATTGATCTTTTAGCTATCAAAGTAACACATTTAGTATTGTTGCATCTAAGTCATTGGTTATGCATAGCTAATCCCCATCAGATATTAGGGGAAAGTTTTTGGTTAGCCAAAAACATAAGAATTAGCTTTTATCAACCTAATGATTTGTCCAAATATAACTAGTTACAAATTGAGTTTATTAGTAAGGTTTAATATATCTGTGTGATGTGTGTTTCGGTATATATTATATGATTAAGTAAATATGTAACCAAGTTTTAACTAACTACATTTTTTGTATTTATTATTTTAAATTGAACTTTTGTATTCATTACTTCAGTTTACTATTATTTGCTATTGCTTAAAATCTTAAGAATACCAAAGGCTTTGATGCAATTTCCATTAATTTGTGCATAAGGAAGCAACAATTTATAAAGATACTTTTTGTAGGAACTGCAGTCTTTGAATTTTTATTTCAAACTACCTTAATTTGAATGGCAAATACTGAAAGGCAATATCTATTATTCATAGAATTTCATCTCTTTTTGAAAAATAATTATTTGTTATATGACTAGGTTTTGTGTCAAATTGCCTGCATTATCCCGCATGCATCAATCATATATAGTTGATGTCTCAAACTACCATTTATGCTTTGCATGATTTTTACATAATTCTGTTATTTAATGTGTTATATTTACTTGCATTTGTTTGATATTTTCTCCCAAACATTGTAATACAGTATATTCTTTTAAACATTTCTGTGTTAATATAGTTTCTAATTTTTACCAGTACCATGGTTTAAGCATTTTGTTTTGTTACTGAGTTTTTAATGCTTTGTAAACTGAAATTTATTTTATTTATTTGTTTGCTTATTTTGAAAAAGTAATTGCGCATCATTTAAAGGGGAAAGCTTGAATAATTTTAGTGTGTTTATTTCATCCATATTTTATTTTCCTGATGTACATTTACCTTCAAGATTAACCTGACCTTGCAAGTGGAGATTTTACATTTTTCTGTGCCTTTCAGCTCCCCAATTTTTTTAAAATCAAATTGTATGATTGACCTTTGTGTTTTTGTTACTGTTCTTCAGATGACAGTTTTTAAATTACCTAGATCTCCTTCGGCTTTGCACTTTTGCAATGTAGGCCTTTTACTAGATTATTACCATTTTAAATATGAAGAAATTAATTAGCGTTTATTTGAAAGATAAGTGATGAAGAAAGGTATTTGATATAAAAAATATTTGTGAATAATACTGAAATGTTGAATTTTTAATTTTTATACATAAGTAGAAAAGCTTCAAATTATTACTCATACATTTTTTAAAAGTTAATATTTTTTCCCTCGAGAGCAATGTTTTAGTGTGTTGTTTGAAATTAGTCTGTAAACGTCCCCACTTTATATAGTTTGAACCAAGATAATCAAAATATTTGTAGAATAGTCTGATATGTGTAACAACTGAAAATATTATTTTAGTGAAGTTTTCTAAAAAAATCTTTACATCATACAGAATGTAACTGATATATTTAATAGCAATAGATAATATATTATAGATAATAGTATTTTGTCAGAAGTAGTTGGTTAATGCTGAGTGCTATAATCAATGATTTTTTAAGTTTAAATATTAACTAAATTTAAACTATTATTTCATGTACACCACAACCTAAATGCTACAATTTGTTATAATTTCGTTTGTTTTAAAGAATACTTTTTTTTAAAATGAAGACCATGAAATTAAAATAAGTTTAAAATTAGACAAGCAGTGAGGTAGCTTGTGTAGAATGAATGAAAATTGTTACCGTTACCATCTTTCAATACATATTAAAAACAAAGCCATAGAAATCAGCTAAATTTTTTAATGTAAGAAATATATATTAAGAATTTTCATATCCTTTCTGAACTTCAGAAAATATTTGAAGCAATCATAAACACTGTTTGTTTATTTGTATAAATAATACAAATTTAATAAAATTTAAAACATTTCTTGTACTCTTTCATTCAATGCATTTGATCTTATTGGTGTACATAACTGATAAAATGTTTTTACTAATTATTGAAAATAATTTCGTTGTTGCTTTACAATGTTTGTGTGTTGAAAAACATGTTTCTACAAGAATTAGCTGCTTCTTTGTAAAAGATTCAAAATTTTTCGTGAAAATTTTTTTGTGCATTCTTTGTGTACTTTTTATTTTGTCTAAATCTTAATTGAATAATTTAATTCTATTATATAATACATTTCAATTGTTTAAAATATATGTAATAGTACAACTATAATAATTTTTAAGTTTTACTTGGAGTAATTGCTAAATCATGTGTTTTAGTTATAGCAATTATGTTAAAGAGAATTGCTTTAAATTTGATTATAGGAAATATATTTTTATATTTAAAAGGAGTGTGTGAGTTAGTAAAATGTTTGAAATTAAAGTGTCTTTAGATGTTAATCATGTTGTATTCGTATTATTAAAGCAAACTTTTGTTAACAGAATTAACTTGTATTAATTGAAATGATTATATATGGTACTTTTTTTTTAATTAGAAAAAGCTGTTACAGAAAAATCCTCTGAAGTATTTCATGAAGAATTATTTAAATATTTTAAAGTGAATTTTCAAATAAAGAATAATTATTTGAGGTTCATGTAAAGTGATAAATTTTATGAGTCTTAAAATTAAATATTTTAAAATAGATATCATGGTTTGGTTGATATGTTAGGGTATGGATTAAATGCCAATTATCACAGGGAATGCAGTAAGAATAATTTTTTTGAAGTTTTTAAATGTTCAATTTTAGCAGCACCTCATTTTTGATCTACTGAAAGAGCTTTTTCTTTAATCATATTGACATAGTTCTTTTTGACAGTTCATAAGTATGTGTTTTGAATATTTTATTTGTTAATTTTAAAGTAATGTTAGTGGAATTACAACATGGGGGAACTGCTGTCAGAAAATTTTGAAATAAAATAATTGTTTGTATATTCTTGAAGATTTTTCATATTCATTCAATTGTTTATTGAACATATGTATAAAATTTAATATCTACTTCTGATTTTGCAACTGCTGATTAAAATTATTAGTATCCAGATGGTTGGCTGTACAAATATGTCATTATCATGTATTTGAATTACTAAGCTAATTATTCATATTAATGTCCCTTGTGTATTTCTGTTGATCAAATAACTGGCAGATAATTTTTAAACTGTAGTGTCCTCCGATAATTTAATTATGAAGTGTACTTGTCTCTTTTTTGAGCATTTTTATTATTTAAGGTAATGTATTAGTTCTAACTTTGTACCGGCATGTTGTCTTTGTTAGTCTAAAATATAATAAATGTTTATGTAGCTTGTTAGTCTAAAATATTCAGTACTTCTCAGCTGAGAAACTGTTAGCTTGCTATTTATAACTGTATATAAAGCAAGATTCTGCCATTTTCTGATATACGAGGGCTATCCAGAAAGTAGATTACGTTTTGGAATAAAAAAATAAACAAAGTATAGGAAACAAATTTTATTATATACAGATGAAAGCCACACTCAAATACTACTTTTCACCATACAAATTAAGGCATTTATCGTAGCGATGTACGAGCTTGGAAATTCCTTCGTCGAAAAATTCGGCCGCCTGCGCCTTCAACCACTTCGTTACCTCTTCTTGCAGCTGTGCGTCGTCATCAAAACGCTGCATAGCCAGCCACTTCTTCATTGCTGGGAATAGGTGGAAGTCGCTCGGTGCCAGGTCGGGACTGTACGGCGGATGAGGAAACAACTCCCACTTAAAAGATTCAAGAACTTTACAGTGACATTTGCCGTGTGGGGCCGGGCGTTGTCGTGAATCAACAAGATCTTAGAGCTCAACATTCCTCTGCGCTTGTTTTGAATTGCTCTTCTGAGTTTTTTGAGAGTTTTGGCAATACCTTTGAGAGTTTATTGTAGTGCCTCTTTCCAGGAAGTCCACCAAAATTACACCTTTTCTGTCCCAAAAAACAGTCGCCATCATCTTCCTTGCCGACATTGTTTGCATGCATTTCTTGGGTTTTTGGGGAGAACTTGTGTGCCCCCACTGCATTGATTGCAATTTCGTTTCACAGTTCACATGTTTCACCCATGTTTTCGTCACCAGTAACGATGCGATCGAGTAAAGAGTCACCATCCTTATGGTAAGCGTCCAAAAAGTTCAACGCTGCAGCCATTCGCTGATTTTTGTGGTCCTCTGTCAAGATTTTTGGAATCCATCTTGCACAAAACTTGTGGTAACCAAGCTTTTCGCTGATGATTTCGTGCAACAAACTTCGCGAAATTTGTGGAAAACTCAAAGAAAGTTCCGTTATTGTGAAATTTCGATTTTCACGGACTTTAGCATCGACTTTTTCGAGAAGTTCGGCGGTCACTATGCTGGGTCTCCCACTTCGATCTTCGTCGTGAACATTGGTTCGGCCATTTTGAAATCTTATGACCCACTGACGCACTCCACCTTCAGTGATAATGTTGTCCCCATACACTTCACGAAGCTGCCGATAGATTTCTATCGGTTTACAGTTTTTTGCAGTCAGAAACCTTATTACTGAGCGCACCTCGCAGCTCGCGGGATTTTCAATTAACGCAGACATTTCAAACCGTCACAGTATCTGAACGGAGCACAGCACGAACCTCTCACTAGCACGGCTAGATGCAGACTGAGCTGCGCAACGCTCTGACCCCAAGATGGCCGCGCTAGCCCCGCCCCTAGCGGACACAGACGGAAACGTAATCTACTTCCTGGATGGCCCTCGTACATACTCTCTATGTGTCAAAAAAATCCTCATGGCTTAAAAAAAAAAAAAAAAAAAAA